CTTGTTACGTCATTTCCTTTGCTATTTCATACCCATGCCATGTTGTTGGTTGAAGTTCTCATTTGTTTTGGGATCTGATAGTTTGTGGAGTGCTTCTTTTCTCAGGTTCCTTCTGAAGAATACTTGTTGGGATTAAGCCGCAATGTCTTCCATTCGTATGTTCTTTTTCTCTAACGCATGTCTTTTTTTCCGCCTCAAAGTGCTCCATACTGTCGACGTTGGTATTTTGTCTCTAGTACTGCCCGCAAACAAATCCACCGCGTAATGGGGCGCGACGACGTTTTATTAGTGTCAGGCCCCCACCATTTGTTTTTCATTGAAACTTTGCGCTATCTCCAGTCCCAAAGCGCGCGAAGCCAGTAAACAAACCAGATCCTGATTAACCACACATTTTTTGAATTATATTATGAATTATTTGCATGTAATGTAATTAAAGGTTCTCGATGGTGATGTTTCGCTAGAATGAACCACCAGTGGTGCCATCATCCACCATCAAATACCTAATGAATTGACTTATTCAGTTTCGTTTGGGCTGTGCCCAAGTCGCAAACGAGTGTGGCCTTAGCAGCATGTGGGAAAAATTAGGGCCCTTTTTTGCCTGAACCGCGCTGGACTTATGAAATTTAGCAGCTTGATGTTGAAAAAAATGGGGGGAAACCAGCGCAGTGCCAATTTTCCACTTGGGTTCGCCCCGGAAAACGGACCCCACCAAGTGTCAAGTTTCCTTTGGGAAACTCAGGAAAAAACTCTTTTTCGCGGGACTTGGTGGGGTCCGTTTTCCGGGGCCAAGCAAAGTGGCAAATTGCCACAGCGTAGAAGATGGCCAAAAATAGGTCATTTTTAGGGACATAGATGGCGCAACTCACTCATTCGCCAAAATCAGGCTGGGAATGCCCACATAGATGGCGCAACTCCCTCATATCTCCCGACATCCATCAACCTAACCAAAATATGCCACATCGATCAGAGTTATCCCAAGACAGGAGGCAAAAAAAACCACCAGGAAAGACATCAGAGTTATCCCAAGACAGGAGGCAGTTGCGCCATCTATGTCCCAAAAAGGACAACTCTGATGTCTTTCCTGGTGGTTTTGCCTTCTCTCGTGGGATAACTCTGATCGATGTGGCATATTTTGGTTAGGTTGGTTGATGGATGTCGGGAGATATGAGGGAGTTGCGCCATCTATGTGGGCATTCCCAGCCTGATTTTGGCGAATCAGTGGGAGTTGCGCCATCTATGTCCCAAAAAGGCAGCTTGATGTTGAAAAAAAATGGGGGGAAACCAGCTCAGCGTAGAAGATGGCAAAAAATATGTCATTTTTAGGGACATAGATGGCGCAACTCCCACTGATTCGCCAAAATCATAGATGGCGCAACTCCCTCATATCTCCCGACATCCATCAACCTAACCAAAATATGCCACATCGATCAGAGTTATCCCAAGAGGAGGCAAAAAAAAACCACCAGGAAAGACATCAGAGTTATCCCAAGACAGGAGGCAGTTGCGCCATCTATGTCCCAAAAAGGACAACTCTGATGTCTTTCCTGGTGGTTTTGCCTCCTGTCTTGGGGCAACTCTGATGTCTTTCCTGGTGGTTTTGCCTTCTGTCTTGGGATAACTCTGATCGATGTGGCATATTTTGGTTAGGTTGGTTGAAGGATGTCGGGAGATATGAGGGAGTTGCGCCATCTATGTGGGCATTCCCAGCCTGATTTTGGCGAATGAGTGAGTTGCGCCATCTATGTCCCTAAAAATGACCTATTTTTTGCCATCTTCTACGCTCTGGCAATTTGCCACTTTGCTTGGCCCCGGAAAACGGACCCCACCAAGTCCCCCGAAAAAGAGCTTTTTCCTGAGTTTCCCAAAGGAAACTTGACACTTGGTGGGGTCCGTTTTCCGGGGCGAACCCAAGTGGAAAATTGGCACTGCGCTGGTTTCCCCCCATTTTTTTCAACATCAAGCTGCCTTTTTGGGACATAGATGGCGCAACTCCCACTGATTCGCCAAAATCAGGCTGGGAATGCCCACATAGATGGCGCAACTCCCTCATCTCTCCCGACATCCATCAACCAATGATGTCTTTCCTGGTTGTTTTGCTTCCTGTCTTGGGATAATTCTGATCGATGTGGCATATTTTGGTCAGGTTGATGGATGTCGGGAGATATGAGGGAGTTGCGCCATCTATGTGGGCATTTGCAGCCTGATTTTGGCGAATGAGTGGGAGTTGAGCCATCTATGTCCCAAAAAGGCAGCTTGATGTTGAGAAAAAATTATGGGGAGAAACCAGCGCAGAAGATTGCAAAGAATATGTCATTTTTAGGGACATAGATGGCTCAACTGCCCTGTTTTAAAGGGAGTTGAGCCATCTATCCCCCATTTTTTTTTGGGACATAGATGGCGCAACTCAAGATTCTGAGCCATCTACTTTTAAGTCAGAGTATCCATCTTATCTATCTATCTATCTATCTATCTATCTTCTCTATCTTATCTATTTTATCTATCTTATCTGTCTTATCTATCTTATCTGTCTTATCTATCTATCTATCTATCTATCTATCTATCTTCTCTATCTTATCTATTTTATCTATCTTATCTGTCTTATCTATCTATCTAACTAACTGATATATCTATCTAACTGATCTATCTATCTAACTGATCTATCTATCTATCTATCTATCTAATCTTTTCTATCTATCTATCTATCTATCTACCTATCTATCTATCTATCTATCTATTTACCTTTCTATATATCTATCTATCTATCTATCGATCTATCTATCTTATCTTATCCTATCCTATCCTATCCTATCCTATCCTATCCATCCATCTATCTATCTTTCCTATCTATCTATCTATCTATCTATCTATTTACCTATCTATATATCTATCTATCTATCTATCTATCTATCTATCTATCTATCTATCTTATCTATCTATCTATCTATCTATCTATCTATCTATCTATCTTATCCTATCCTATCCTATCCTTTCCTATCCTATCCTATCCTATCCATCCATCTATCTATCTATCTATCTTGCTATCTATCTATCTATCTATCTATCTATCTATCTTCTCTATCTTATCTATTTTATCTATCTTATCTGTCTTATCTATCTATCTAACTAACTGATATATCTATCTAACTGATCTATCTATCTAACTGATCTATCTATCTATCTATCTATCTATCTATCTATCTATCTATCTATCTATCTATCTTATCTATCTATCTATCTATCTATCTATCTATCTTATCCTATCCTATCCTATCCTATCCTTTCCTATCCTATCCTATCCTATCCATCCATCTATCTATCTATCTATCTTGCTATCTATCTATCTATCTATCTATCTATCTATCTATCTATCTATCTAATCTATCTAATCTATCTAATCTATCTAATCTATCTAATCTATCTAATCTATCTATCTATCTATCTATCTATCTACCTATCTATCTATCTATCTCTCTCTCTCTCTCTCCCCGTCTGTCTCTCTCCCCGTCTGTCCGTCTGTCCGTCTGTCCGTCCGTCCGTCCGTCTGTCTATCTACCTGTCTATCTGCAAACTTGAAAACGAAGCTATTCTGCGAGACTTCCTCATTTTTTGAACTTGACAACATCCAAAACTAAGCAATTCTGCGAGATTTCCTCAATTTTTGAACTTGACAACATCCAAAACAAAGCAATTCTGCGAGACTTCTTCAATTTTTGAACTTGACAACATCAAAAACAAAGCAATTCTGCGAGACGTCCTTCAAAAATGGAAAGTTGAGTGCAGAGCAGACGGCCTCGTACCAATGCGTTTTGCGATTTTTCGACTCCACCTGTCTAAACTACTGCGCCTGCCACGAAAAAGTGATACCGGGTCATTCGAAGTGCTGCACCTGTCACGCAAAATCATCTCAGCAAACCCGAAGATCTGATGCTCCAAAATGCAAGCCCTCTCAGGAAATCAGCCCCCGGACTTCCTAACAGCTCTGATGAACATGTCTCTTGTACTGCGCCTGCCACGGAAAATGCATCTTTACAGATCCTCTTCAAATGTCCCACGCCTGCCATCGTTTTTGGAAATGCTACAAAGCCCTCACGTCTTGCTCACTTTTGACAAGGTGCACAATCCCGTGCGCCTGCCACGCGAAACGACATCTGAACGTCCAAAAGTGCTCCGCACCCCTCACTTTTTGTGCACTTTTGACTTCGAAATGTGCTTCGCGCCACAACAGCGAAGCACTTTTGCGACATCTCAACTTCCAAAAGTGGTCCGGAGCTGGTGTGTTTTGTACATTTTGACTTCGAAATGTGCTTCGCGCCACAACAGCGTGCAATTTTTCATCTCTCATCTGCCCAGCGGGCTCCGCACCAGCCGCTTTAGCGAGCCTACTTTTCGACCCTCCGGAGCCACAAATCATTGGAAAAACAAAGTGTTTCGCGACTTTCCTACCTTTTCGCTTTTCTGAGACTTTCTCTTTTTTGATCTTCTTTCTTCTTCTCTTCGCTTCTCTGACTCTTCCCACCTCTGCTTTTCATTTGTCCATATTGTCGGAAGCTTGACTTCTAAACTTCCTTTGAATATATATATATATATATATTTATTTATTTATTTATCTATATAAAATTATATAAATCTACATATGTATATATATATATATTAATATTATATATAATATACATATGTTATAGAGAGAGAGAGATAGATAGATAGATAGATAGATAGATAGATAGATAGATAGATAGATAGATAGATAGATAGATAGATCGATAGATAGATAGATAGATAGATACATATATCATCCAAACATATCCAAACTATTTACCAGATACAATGTCATTCTTGTTGCTTCATGCAACCAGCTGCCTGGCCCGAACAGTTGCTATAATTCTGAAGCTGAAATGGGGTCGTCATGAGAGGGTCCCCCTACGATTCCACGGACTTTTGGGGAAAATGATGCAAAAAATGTGCCGTTGTCATCCACTATAGCTAAGAACTTGCCCAGCTTCGACAAGGGCTGATGAAACAAAATGCGGAAACATTGTCCACCAATCACGGGCGACCACTCCTTGGTGTGACAGTGTAATGACCCAGCATGATCAGGTGCAACCAAAAAATGTGACGCCAAGAGAAGATGGGCAACCGATTTCTCCTCATTTTGGATGATGAAAAATAATTTATTTAAACTCTTGTCTTTGCAGTGCTACTAGTATCTGAAGTTTCAATGTGTTTCAACATGTTTCAACCACCTTAATTAAACTGTTTTTTCACTAACCACGTGCACCGTCTACTGATCAAATGATCCGACCATTCCCTGACAAGATTGTTATCTCATCAACGTGGGCCCTGTCTCTTTCAGCATCTTTCAGCCACCGCAAAGTGGCATTTTGCAGCAATGTGATAGCATCAGATTCAGGCCCATAGCATTCAGGCCCATCACTGCACGAGCCACTGCAGTCTTTCCAGTGCATGGATACAATATGATACAATTATCAGAAGAGTCGCACATCAGCAATCTGCGCCCAGGACTTCACCAAGCGTCTGACAGACCCAGCTCCTCCTCCTGCAGCGCCTTCCTTACATCAGGAATGCTACGGAGTCGCTCTTCCGCTTGCCACCAGCTGAGCTCCATGGTTAAACCTGGGTGAAACCCGCTTGCCGCATGCCCCACCATGCTTGCCTTTAAAGCTAAAATCGACTTGCAATGAAAAGAGTTCTTGAAAACGTTGACTTCAGCTGCTGGGCTCTTGTTTTTCGAGATGCACTTCATTTTCCATGCAGTTCCTCTTCATGGACCCCATTCTTCGGTCCCATGACGAGCAGCTGCTTAAAAACTGGAAGAGGGCCTCCTGTTGATCTGCAACCTTGCCAGCGCTTCGCTTGGTCACGGGCTCATGGTGGGAAACATCCTGAATGATTGGATTGGGACAGGGGAAAATATGGGAAAATCGTGTTTCTTACCTGTGAATAGAAGGTCTCTTGTTCTTTTTCCTTCGTTCAATTCTGGGACGGAATCACTGAAGATGAAATGCAAACGCAACCCACATGCCAGCCATAGTTCTGTTCTTCAAGTTTGTTCAAGGTAAAATCGAGAGAAACGCCGTGATTTCCTTGCAAGCTGGCCATGAGTCCATGATTTTCCATGTTTTTCCATGATTTTCGGGACCATCCCCTGAGGAGATTGACACCATAGCTACGATACCCCAGGATTCCCAAGGTCCTCAGCCAGGCCATCATTCCCCGTTTTGACACAGCACACATCACATGGTTGGTTGAATTCCCATAGATTCCCATACCTCACTGTCTCACCATGATTTTCTCCATTCTTGAACAAAGCCAGATAATTTATAAGGATAGGGTTATATAAGACCAAGGGAACAACCCGGAAAATCACCAAGGTAATAGGCAATAGGATTCTGGTTTTGTAAAACCAGTAAGCATTGCTGTTGTACAGTTTCCGGCATGTCAAGGCACAGTGAGGACCGAGACGTACTGAATGAAGTGCAAGGGCGTCAGCTGGTTGAGCTCAGTCACCTGGTCCCGACCGGGACTGCTCAGGTTGATGAATTTCTGATCACTGTTCTCTTGTTGGTTGCGGGTTATGGTTGGGTCCCGTTTTCATCTACCCAACCTGTCCCCAGCCAAAATCATGCCTGGGCACCCATTGCTTGTACCACGACGCTTGGATGTCTCGGTACCATGTGGCTTGGATATCCTGGGGCTCTTCCTCGCAGATCGCCTCTCTGATAACTTTGATCGCGTCCCTCGGCTGTGAACTTAGTCCCAACGGTGAAACCGAGTTTTTTCCATGCTTTTTCCAAGGGTCCAGCCCCAAATTGGACACTTGTTCTTTGGAAAGGTTAGCAAACCACTTATCTCCTCCACCAAGAATGCAGATTATGAAAAGCGGGTGGCCGGTTTGGCACATGATTTACCATCATTTACCCACAGCTCATGCAATGGCAGGTTTCCCCGTGGCCTGTGACCGAGCATAGTGGGAAAATTGGAAATAACAGGAACATCATCATTGCGAAATCATCCATTTAAAATTTACTTGGTGAACTCTCACGTGTTTTTGGGTCAGCATTAATGTGAGCGGTCAGAAACTCTGACACCCTGCTCATCTCTCCATCGGATGGACCAATAAAGCATCTAGCAGCGGAGACCGCTCTGAATCAGTTAGCCAAACAACAAGCATCTAGTACCTGTTCAGTCGGTTGGATCCCAAGTTTCTTGCGGGATTAATTAAATCATATTAAATGTTTAAACGGATTTGATGCTTCAATTCCAAGAGTGTGTGGTTTGAATAGTTGAATCCCGATTGATGGTCTAGTTTTTCAAATTTAAATTCTTGGGCTCCTAGAATTCAAATTTCAGTGTGTTGTCCCCGGCTACAAACCATGCGAAATCCCATACCGGTAGGTGATATGATACCTCCACTACTGTCTGGATAATTTGACACGGCTATGGGAAATGGCCCATTTCTGTCTATGATTTATCCATTATCCATTACAGCAATTTGATAATAAATTACGAATGGTTATATTAATTATATAAATCAGTGTAATTTTCTATTTATGATCATTTATGATGTTCTACTCCAGCAATTGAATGAATAATGTATGATTATCCACAGCAAACAGTTATATAACAGTTATATGGCAGTGTGTCAAAACCTTGTACCCCTGTAGTTCACATCAAAATAGCTGGTAAATGGATGTTCATCCCCTTAAAAATGGTATTAATAGGTATTGATCCATACCCATATAGTTATGTAGTCATGTAGTCATTAACAGAGGCGATTCCTCCAAGTGTCTCCGCAGCCTTCTTGGCATTTCTGGCCTTGAACTGCGAAACCAGGTCACCAGCCTCCGCAGCTTTCTCAGCAGAGAGCTGCAGGCACTCGGCTTCATAGAGGCTTGCCTTCCTGATTCGTGGTTCAATACGCTTCAACCATCAAAAAGGCCCAAGTCAACTCAGTCAACTTTCCAACAAAATCCTAAAAAATTGGAAGTCAATCGTCAAGAATTGAGATTCATGGACCATCAAGTATGATTTCACCTCCAAACATGATGATTTTGTCCCTGGGATTGACCCTCCGGGAATCTAACATGGTTGGGAATCCACCATTTAAGGGAGTTTACGGAAAATCATTCTTACCGGAAAAAACTGTTTGTTTGAGGTGTCAATGTCCTTAAATCAATCTATTGACAATCATCCTTGCTGGTAAAATTCTTAATTCATCATGCTTGGATTGATCAATCTCACCATATCCATCCAATTTCATCAGCATTACAATCCCATCTTGTTGGATGATATCCCATTAAGAGCCTTGGATAAATCATGATAAATCTCTTGTTGATTGTTAATTGCTTCCCACTAATTATATCAAATTATATCATAATATTCTATTTGGCTGGTGGTTCCAACTCATCTGAAGAATTTTTTGCACGTCAATCCGTCGATCGGGTGTCATCATCCCAAGTCCAAGTAGGCTTAAAGAATATCATCCCAGGCAGGGTTGAAGCAAAAACTCCAAACCACCAACCGGATCTAGTTAATCATTCCTGAACAATTAAAAATAAAAAAAAACAGTGATTCTCCCATTGATATCATTTATAGTTCGAACAGTGTGGAACTCTAGGGCTGCGATTTGCTGCGGTTCTCCCAACCAGTTCAACAGCTATTTCAGGAACCTAAATTAAAGATACCATATACAAGGCCCATTCTTCAGGGTTAAATTTCAGAAAACATCACCACAACTTAAAGGTGCATCCATTCTAGGGTCCTGTCTATCTATCTATCTATCTATCTGTCTGTCTGTCTATCTATCTATCTATCTATCTATCTCTCTATCTATCTCTATCTATCTATCTACATACCTATCCACCTATCCTATCTATCCTATCTATCCTATCTATCCTATCTATCCTATCTATCCTATCTATCCGATCTATCCGATCTATCCTATATATCCCATCTATCCTATCTATCCGATCTATCCTATCTATCCTATTTATCCTATCTATCCTATCTATCCTATCTATCATATCCATCCTATCGGTCCTATCTATCCTATCTATCTTATCTATGTTCTCTCTCTTCTCTATCTTATCTATATTATCTGTCTTATCTATCTTACCTGTCTTATCTATCTTATTTATCTTATGAATCGTATCTATCTTATCGATCTCATCTATTGTCTCTCTCTTCTCTATCGTCTCTATCTTATCTATCTTCTCTATATCTTCTCTATCTGCTCAATCTTCTCTATCTTAACTATCTTATCTATCTTAAATATATTCTCAATCTTCTCTATCTTCTCAATATTCCCTATGTTCTCTATCTTCTCTATCTTCTCTATCTCCTCTACATTCTCTATATCCTCTATCTCCTCTATCTTCTCTATAATCTATCGTATCTATCTTATCTATCTTATCTATCATATTTATCTGATCTATCTTATCCATCTGATCTATCTTATATATATATCTTATCTATCGTATCTAGCGTATCTATCTTATCTTTCTTTTCCATCTTAACTGTCTTATCTATCTTAGCTATCTATCTATCTTATCTTTCTTATCTATCCTATCTGTATTATCTATCGTATCTATATTATCTATCTTGTCTATCTAATCTAGATTCTATATTATCTATCGTATCTGTATTAACTATCTTATTTATGTTTATCTATATTATATATCTTATCTAGCTTATCTATCTTATCTATCCTATCTATCTTATCTATGTTCTCTCTCTTCTCTATCTTATCTATATTATCTGTCTTATCTATCTTATGTCTTATCTATCTTATCTATCTTATGAATCGTATCTATCTTATCGATCTCATCGATTGTCTCTCTCTCTTCTCTATCTTCTCTATCTTATCTATCTTCTCTATCTTATCTATCTTCTCTATCTTATCTATCTTATCTGTCTTATCTATCTGATCTATCTGATCTATCTTTTCTCTCTATCTATCTATCTATCTATCTATCTGTCTATCTATCTATCTATCTATCTATCTTTTCTCTCTATCTATCTATCTATCTATCTATCTCTCTCTCTCTCTCTCTCCGTCTGTCTGTCTGTCTGTCTGTCTGTCTGTCTGTCTGTCTGTCTGTCTGTCTACCTGTCTATCTGCAAACTTGAAAACGAAGCTATTCTGCGAGACTTCCTCATGTTTAATCTAATCTATCTAATCTAATCTATCTAATCTAGTCTATCTAATTTATCTAATCAAATCTATCTAATTTATCTAATCTATCTAATATAATCTATTTCATCTAATCTATCTAATCCAATCTATCTAATCTGTCTAATCAAATCTAATCTATCTAATCCAATCTATCTAATCAAATCTTTCTAGTCTGATCTATCTAATCGAATCTATCTACTCTAATCTATCTAATCCAATCTATCTAATTTATGTGATCTATCTAATCTATGTAATCGTAATCTATCCAATCTATCTATCTAATCTAAGCTAATCTAGTCTAATCTAGTGTAATCTAATCAACTCTATCTAATCTATCTATCTAGTCTATCTATCTAATCTATCTAATCTATCTATCTAATCTGTCTAACCTATCTAATCTATCAATATTTGAATTTATCAATCTATCTATCAATCTATCTATCTATCTATCCTATCTATCCTATCTTTCCTATCCATCCTATCTATCCTATCTATCCTATCTATCCTATCTATCCTATCTATCCACCTATCCTATCTATCCTATCTTTTCTATCTTATCTATCGTATCTATCTTATCATCTTATCTATTGTGTCTATCTTATCTATCTTCTTTATCTTATCTATATGATTTATCATACCTATCTTCTCTATCGTATCTATCTGTTCTATCTTCTCTATCTTAACTATTCTATCTTATCTTATCTATCTTATCTATATTCTCAATCTTCTCTATCTTCTCTATCTTCTCAATATTCTTTATATTGTCTATCTTCTCTATCTTCTCTATCTCTTCTATCTTCTCTAAATTATCTATCGTATTTATCTTAGTCTTATCCAGCTTATCTATCATATCTATCTGATTTATCTTATTCATATTTTCTATCTTATCTATCTTATCTATCTAATCAAATGGTAAGCACTCAGATCTCCAGATCAGTCTCTGCTGGAGCAGCCAGGCGTTCAGCGCATAGTGCTGCGCCTTTTCCCTGAAGCCTTCGGCCCGCAGGGAGGCGGACATTAACTCCGTCCATTCCTGGGTTCGGATGGGACATATGATGGGGATCTATTGGGGATCAAGTAAGGGGATGTAATGGGATATATATATATCTATCTATCTATCTGTCCGTCTATCTTTCTTTCTAATCTGATCTAATCTAATCTATAGTAATCTAATCATCTATCTATCTATGATCTATCTATGATCTATCTATGTATCTGTCTATCTATCTATCTATCTATCTGTCTGTCTGTCTGTCTATCTTTCTATCTATCTATCTCTCCGTCTGTCTGTCTGTCTGTCTATCTATATATATATATATATCTAACCAATGTGATATGATACTTGGGTGTGTCTGAAAATGTTTTTGTTACTTGCAACTTGTCGCCACTTTAAGTGAGAAATGAGACCTAAAACTGGATTTAGGGGGTTCCTAGTTTCAGACCAAAGCACGTGGTCAACCCCAATCATCGATTGCAGTTGTTGAAGGTCTGTTCAGCAGGTTTCACACCAGCTTCCCCACTTTTATATAACACGGAAGCTCAGAATGGACATCTTCAAGAAATCGTCTTCCAGACCCATTTTGGGGCAGTTCTCAGAAGCATTAAAATATCGGCTGACCCCTGAAGTGCCTAGCTGTGCAACCCAACAGCAGGTTCCAGGTGAATATACATATATGTACACTATATGTATTATTATATATTTTAGATATATTATAATAATATTATATAATATACATATAATATGTGTTATATACACGTATGAATGTATATCTGTGTTTGTATGTGTGTGTCTCTACATGTAAATGTATATATCCTCGTATATGATCCCTTCTCTGTATTACTTAACCTCCCCTAAATAATGATAACACTACCCCAGATTATTTGTTTTGGGAAAATTCATATTGGTCACTTTGACTTTTAATTGATCCCCTTTGGAAAACAATTGTAAAATCAAGGTCCATTTGAAGGTTCTACCCCCTTAATAAAAAAACTACTTAGCCCCGGGGTGTTTTTTATTAGGGTCCGTGTGTTAAAATCAACAAGTTCAGTTTTTAAAATTAAGGTTTTTAATTTGATATTAGGGGAAAGCTTCGAAATCCAATTTTGTGGCAATGTTTTCATTAGATCTTAAACGGGAGATAACGGGAGTTTAATTGATTTTGAAATCGGGAAAAAAATTATTAAGCTTTTAAATTCATTGTTAGAAGCCAGCTACCCCCCGAATATTAAATACCCCATAGCCCATAACAATAAAAACTACTTCTAGGTTTTATTATTTGGGGGTGGACGTTTAATAGTAGGGTCCAATTAGGGTATATCAGGGTGAAGGGATTAAGTTTATAGTCTAGTCTATCCATCCATCTATCTAACGTAATCCAATCAAATCTAATCTACTCTATCCTGACCTGCATCCTGAGTTCACCAACGTCATCCCAGGCTGACTCTGCATATGCTTCAGAAACCATACTGGAACCAGGTTGAGTGTCGACTTCAGCACCCGAATTCACAGGGAAGGTTTCATCTTCATCATCCTGGCACTGCTGGCTTCTGCATGGCCAATCCGCTACTTGACCAGAGGCTGGCGGCTGGCATGTGTGTGCGCGTGTATGCTACCAGTATTGGGGAGAAGGGATAGAAAGCACTTTGGCAACTGGCAACCTGCCAGCGTCTACCATGATTCTTTCCAGGAGTCCCGGCTTGAGGAACACCCATGTAGACTTCCACAATGGAACATACTTCAACATTGCTACCCTCTCCATTCCCAGGAAATCCCACTGGAAAAGACCTTCAAGTTTGTGATTTTCATGGCACCATGTCGATCCAAAACACGGTCAAAAACACTTCCGAAACCTCGTACTCATCCCCCGACTCGGATGGGAGCAAATGCATTGCCGGGTAGCGGGACCGGCTGACGTCCCTACTTGCCATAAACCGCGCGATGGCCACTTTGAAAGAAGAGACAGTTGCTAGATGTTGCTAGCTGCTAGGTACTTTTCGAAGACCCTTCCACATTCTTGCTACTCTTCGTTGCAACAGGAAACATGCCTCAAGTCAAAGGAAGGAACCAGGATTAAAATGGTACCAGTATGAGCTTACAGGTATTCTTTTCACAAAACACGCGACATGCCCATTGTGTAGTCACTTCGGAGTGCGGCAGTGGTGCTACCAAACCGTACCAAGCATGTTTTGCAGATCTATCACAGTCAAGCAGGAGAGATGAGACCAACCAGATTTGCGCCATGTCCGTTGCATATTCCGCTTCAATTTCTTGACTTCTTGACAATTGTTTCATTGGCTTCATTCTGCCACAACAACATCTTGCCCCAAGCACCCGTTGCTTCTGCATGTGGGCAAAACTCAAAATGGCTGCAACGCATTCGCATCCTGAAATGCGAAACTTCAATCGACGCTAGGGCACCCCAAATAAATAATTATTAGAAAACCCTCAGCACACGCCGTGCTTAACCACAAAAAACATTGACCCAGTTACTATCATAGTTACTATGATTCTTACTATTATTATGATCATGCCGATTACTACTACTGTCATTACTGCTATAACTACATCATTATTAGGGGATGGGCCAAAACCTTCTACCCAAAATGCCCCCAAAAGTTCACATCAAAATCATCAAAATAGCTGGGATCTATGGATGTTCATCCTGCTCATCCCCCTAAAAATGGTAACAAAATGTAATACCCTCTGGTAAACATACAAAAAGCTATTGAATATGGCCATAGAAATAGTAGATTTTCCCATGAAAAATGGTGGATCTTTCCATAGTTATGTAAACGTTTACCAGAGGGTAAATTGCTATTGATCCATGATGATCCATGACCATTTCTGTATCCAGGCCTTCATGTTCGCCGCCTTGCCGGCCGTGGCCCCAATGGCCGTATCCTCCACCACCACGCAGCGCATGGGTGCAACGCCCAACTTTTTGGCCGCCAGGTTGTAGATGGCCTAGAGCGGAAAAATATGGGAAAAATGCTAGGATGATGACCCTAATTGATCTAATTGACTATATCTGGTTGGTGGATGTTGGTGGATTCAAGTATTCTTCTGGAGTTCTTTCTGATGGATGTAAAATGATGTAAATTTTGAGCTTGCACAGTGAAATTGGATGGATATGGTGGGGTGAATTTATCAACCCCTGAAGATTCGCGCCGATAGGTTTCCTGTAGATTTAGCCTTTAACCGGGCCAACTGGATGGCCGAAAACTGGAGGTACATGACACATGACCCTTCTCTTTGCGTGGAAAGTGCCTCCGCATATGAACAAACTGAGTAATGTATGCCTATGTTTTTTTGGGCTGTATGTATCGGATTTCGGATCATAATCACATATCACAAAACATCATAAAACCTAGTATTAGTTAGACACATGCATGTATGTATGTTTAGAATCATTATGAATATCATCTATCATAAATGATCATAAATGTAGATAATGATATGATATAATTACCATCTGGTAATTTAACATAGCTATTGAAAATCACCATTGTTTATGGGAAAATCCACTATACATGGTGATTTTCAATAGCTTTTTGTATGTTTACCAGAGGGTATATATACAGTTATGTAGTTAAGTCTTCTGTCTAAGTTCCTCATTCGAATACCAGGACCACGCGGCTGGGTCCGGTTTCTTCTCAGGCACCACCTCAGCGAAACAGAAAATGCCTGGCTCATGGATGTTTTGAACATCCCAAGACAATAAAAGTATGTTATATCCCAATAAAAGGGTATGTTCAAATAATGTTAAATTGGGTGTGATTAATCCATTATGTGGTATGATGTAAAACGACTGATGGTTGGTTGATTGGATGGATTATGGCATTGGGTTTACCACATTAGGTCTTGATGGATCACCATGTGATCATAATCTACTTCTACCACCTGGCAGAAGCGTTCAGGAAATCATGGGTTTCGTCCAAATTGATTTGACCGCCTGCCTCATTCATGGACAATGCCTGAATGGAGGGTATCCCGTATAGATCTTTGATGATCTTTGGAATGTCTCACGCAACATGTTGGATTTGATTGTCCACCCAAGGACAGCCAAATCCCCGGAATACAAAAATATTTGCCCATCGTGCAGTCCTCATTGTGCAAAATGATCATTTCAATTCCAAATGCTACATGGATATATATATATATACATAATAGATATATATATATAATAGATATATATAGATATATATATATATAGATATTGATATTGGATGATGGATGAGACTCAAATATGATCACCATGATTTCTTGATGTCACCATAGAAAAGGGCTGAAAAGGGCGACAAATTCCATCACTTGTTGTTCCCAGCCTCCGGGCCAAGGCATCCAAGGCATCCAAGGCATCCAAGGCACATCCCCGGCGAAGATGGTGAGCTTTGAAGCGTAGTCCGGCAGCATGGTGTCCACCACCGCCTTCACCGAGTCCTCCAAGCTGCCCAGGAAGTCCCATAAGATTCCCATGAATTCCCATGAAATCCTTATATGTTCCAATGTTTCCCCACAAAAACTGTATAAAACGTTATAAAACTATATAGTCCCATTTCAACTAAACGCATCTATATACAATAATTGCTGACAAAATTGACAAATCCACCTCCATATCTACACCAGTCTCTTATCTCTAGATCTAATGCAGCGCCTCGTTGCTTGTAGAGCACACTGCCAACTTCCAACCGGCCGCATCTGCAGCAGTGATCAGGTCCTGACCGATGCTCATGGGATTTCAGCGCTGAAAATGGTGGGTTTAACATGATTTAACCATCGAAAATGGGAATTTGAATGGATTTAAATTATCAAAAAAGTCAAGGACCGTGGATTTTTGGGTCTTGTGAGACCTTTTGATGCCACAAAATCTCGGGGCATTCTTTTAGCAAGCACACTTTGATGATCTTTGATGATCTTTGATGATCTTTGATGGTTTATGAGCTGTTTATGAGCTGCAATGGAGCTGGGCTGAGCGGTGCTCATCCCTTAAGGTCAGAGAATGTCAGCCGACCTCTTGGGTCAGGATTCTGACGGGTATCTGGGATAATCCCTTCGTGAAACTGGGATTTCTAGTTGAAACTCTGTGGAACCATCAGTAGCCTGACAGCCTGACATGGACAAACACCGGTTATAGCAGCTATGACATTCTATGACAGCTATCAAAACTATGTGGATATAGCAGTTAGGACAGTTATGACATGTCGGCGCAGGGATCATCTCGAGCCTTGATACCTTCGCGCAGTGGCAGCTCACCAGACTTCACCTGTGGGGGGCCGGCTCCACCACTTTGATGTCGAACCCGTCAAAGCAAAAAGATAAGGTGCTTGCAATGTTGGTGGGATATGATATTGATGACGATTGACATACTGTCAATTACTATAGTCACTATAGTCTCCATACTATTATTGCACTTCATTTATGGCCAAAACAAGAATCCCATATTGCTTGCGGTTCACCACGGCAAAGTGTACCCAAAGGGTGAAAACGGCCGAGTGGCGATGTCCATGAAGATCTTAGTCTTGAGCTCATGCAACTCCATGATCAGTGGATGATCTTTGGCTGGTGGGTCCTGGGAACTCAGGATGTCATATATAATATTTAATAAAAAACGGAGGACCATCAGCAAACAGCAGCTGCAGTCCTCAAGAATCCATGCATCTGGATTGTAGTCCTTGAAGTAGCGCGTCATCCTTTCCTTTCCACCGCCAGTACTCAGCAGTTCGCCGTACAACTCCACGTCCCATTCCACATCAAAGTTTTTCTCCTGGACGCTTGTTTTGAAAGACACCGGTCATTTTTCTAATGGCCATGTGGGGCTGTTGTTAAACTGGAAGTGGCACATAGATTTGGCACCCCATGGGCTGATGCAATCACAAGACAGCCTTGGATTTCCTCAAAATCCGTGGCATCGGATCCGGCTCCTTGAAGGCCTTGTTGAAAGCCAGGCGGTGTCCATCGCGTTCCGTCTCCGCCAGGGTTCCGTCACAGTCCAACAAAAGGGCACCAGAACCCACGTCAGCGCCACCCAGTACACCCCAACCATCCTCAGCTGCGTTGAGACTGTTGAGACATGAATCTACCCACCTACCACCTACAGCTAGCTACCCTACACCTAGGCATTGCCTCTAAAAAAACACCGAAGATAAAAGCGTCAGCAATGTCTCTCACTCATAGTCGTAAGTCACTCATATATATATATATCATACATCCACACCCCAGTTCTTCTATCTTGCCACATGCTTGGAACATTTTGGTTGAGATGAGCCACCTCGTCGTCATCATCATCCATCATGGGCTTGACCACTGTTCCCTTACGGAAGAGCTGACCATACCTGCAGGTTCCCAGCTCCCAGGATGTTGATCTGACAATGGGAAATTCCCAACAGCAGGGCCTGTTGGGTTTCAATCTCTAGGGCTGGGGCTGGCTCGCGGGGACTTGCAGCCTTCAAAATCCGGAATGGAACCCTGGAACCCTGGAACCCTGGAACCCTGGAACCCTGGAACCCTGGAACCTTGGAACCCTGGAACCCTTGGAACCCTGGAACCCTGGAACCCTGGAACCTTGGAATCCTGGAAAATCTGGAATCCTGGAATCCTGGAAAATCTGGAACCTTGGAACCCTGGAACCCTGAAACCTTGGAAGCCCGGAACCCTGGAACCCTGGAACCCCGGAACCCTGGAACCCTGAAACCCTGTAACCTTGGAACCCTGCGACCGTGGAACCCTGAAACCTTGGAACCTTGGCACCCTGGAACCCTCAAGGATTCTGGAACCCTGCAACCTTGGAACCCTGGAACCTTGGAACCCTGCAACCCTGCACACCTGGCACCCTGCTGGGACCCTGAAACCCTGGAACCCTTGGAACCCTTGGAGCCCTTGGAACCCTTGGAACCCTTGGAACCCTGGAAACCTTGGAACCCTGAAACCGTGGGACCCTGGTACCCTGGAACCCTGGAACCCTGGAACCCTGAAACCTTGGAACCCCGGAACCCTGGAACCCTGGAACCCCGGAACCCTGGAACCCTGAAACCCTGGAACCTTGGAACCCTGCGACCGTGGAACCCTGAAACCTTGGAACGATTCTGGAACCCTGCTACCTTGGAACCCTGGAACCTTGGAACCCTGCAACCCTGCACACCTGGCACCCTGCTGGGATCCTGGAACCCTGAAACCCTGGAACCCTTGGAACCCTTGGAGCCCTGGAAACCTTGGAACCCTGAAACCGTGGGACCCTGGTACCCTGGAACCTTGGAACCCTTGAAACCCTAAAACTTCCAAACCCTAAATTCTATGCGCGCTGCGCGCGCTGCATGCAATAAAGTAAACCCTAAAACTTCCAAACCCTAAACCCTAATGCGCGGTGCGCGCGCTGTGTCCCAGAGAAGTAAACCCTAAAATTTCCAAACCCTAAACCATCGTGTTATGCAACTTCCAAACCCTAAAGTTTAACCCCCGGTGTGCGCGCTGCATGCAATAAAATAAACCCTAAAACTTCCAAACCCTAAACCCTAATGCGTGCTGTGCGCGCTGCGTGCCAGAGATAAACCCTAAAACCTTCAAACCCTAAACACTAATGCGCGCTGCGCGCGCTTTGTGCAATAGAAATAAACCCTACAATCTTCAAACCTGAAACTCTCGTGTCATAGAGGTAAACCCTAAAATTTCCAAACCCTAAACCCTAAACCCTAACGCGCGCTGCGCGCGCTGTGTGCCATAGAAGTACCCCTTAAAATCTCCAAACCCTAAACCATCGTGTCATGAGGTTAACCCTAAAACTTCGAAACCCTAAAGTTCAACCCACGCTGTGCACGCTGCATGCAATAAAATAAACTATAAAACTTCCAAACCCTAAACCCTAATGCGCGCTGCGCGCACTGCGTGCCACACACATAAACCCTAAAACTTTCAAACTTTAAACCGTAACGCGTACTGCGCGCACAGCCTGCCATAGAGGTAAACGGTTAAACTTTCAAACGCTGCGTGCCATAGAGGCAAAGCCTAAACTTTCAAACGCTAAACCGTAAAGCAGGCTGCGCGCGCTGCGTGCCATAGAGTGCTCCTCAAAAGTGATTACATGTCATACTTTAGTGGCATCCTCCAAATTCATTAGTCAGCCTTGTTAATCCAGGGCCCATTTTACACATGTCATCTTCTTGGTCGTGGCGCCATTTCAGGATCACACTGATGACCTAAGCTTTGGCCTTAACTATTATGCAGGCAAGCGACATCAGCACGCTATGGTATTGGAAGACACAGGGTTTGCCCGTAGACCAGCCAAAAAATCGATTTTCCACACTGAACAATTGGATCTAACACATTTAGAATAGGAGCTCCGCCTGATTCAGATTTCATCACTTAAAAGGTACCCATGCCTGACTAGCCTTCATGACTTAAAGCGTAACCACACCCGACTTAAGGGAACCATGCCTGACTAGCCTTCAGAATTAAGAGGTACTCACCCACGCCTGACTTAACAGAACCCATGCCTGACTAGCCTTCATAATTAAAAGGTACCCATGCCCCTGAATTCAGGGAACCATGCCTGACTAGCCTTCACAATTAAAAGGTACCCACTGGAACCATGCCTGACTAGCCTTAATGACTTAAAAGGTAACTACACCTGACTTAATACCTGATTTACTTGGAAAAACGCAGGGCCGGAATTTGCAGGGCGCGGGCCGGAATTTGCCGGGCCCGGGCCGGAATTTGCCGGGCTGGGATTTTGGGGTCGTGCCTAAATAGGATTTTTGCAAAAATCGTGCATCACTGAAGGGAACCATGCCTGACTAAACATCATACCAATCATCCCAAAAGAATCCAATAATTCCAGCAAGTGATGCCTGACCAATCCCTGCGTCATAATAAACCGTCTGCCCCTCCCCACCCAATAATGAACACACGGAACAGTTTTTTGTATTTAGTGGGTATTTAGTATGAGGGTGCGAAACTTCCCCCTTGGTTAAAAAAAAACTAAATTGGAAAACATTTTTTAAATAACATCTAACTAAAATATTGCCAAAATTGGATTCCGAAGCTTCCCCCTGACATTAAATTGAAAACATTCGTTTAAAAAATGAACTTTATATTTCAAAACCGATTGAATTCCTATTCAAAATCTAACTCAAATCTTGCCAAATTGGATTTCGAAGCTTCCCCTTATATTAAATTGAAAACCTTACTAATCCCCACCTCCTTTTACTAAACGTACCCTAAATACTAAAATATTACATTGATTCCTTTTACTAGGGTCCGCGTTAAATTTTGGGAAATTTCAGGCTGGCCAGTTTGACTTTTAATTGATACCTTTTCAAAAACAAATTAAACATGAAGGTCCCATTTCAGGGATTTCACCACCAAAAAATAAAAACTAGTCAGCCCCGGTGATTTTTTAAACTAGGGTCTTTTAAGGTCGAAAAAATAAGTATTTTATATTACAACGTTAATATAATATTGGGGGAAAATTTCGAAATCCACTTTTTGGCATTTCCTGGCAATATTTTTGCTGGATGTCAAAAGGAAATCTAATCGATTCTTGAAATCGAAAAAACATAGTTTTTTTTATTAGTGGTTTTAATTTAATCTTAGGGGAAAACTTCGAAATCCAATTTTTAGCAATATCTTAATTATATGTTAAACAGAAAACTAATCGATTTTGAAACAGTTTTTTTTAAATATATTAGGGCTGGTAATTTAATATTAGAGGAAACATTTCAAAATCCGGTTTTTGTTTTTATTTTTGTTACTACAATTTAAAAGGGAATCGAATCGATTTCAAAAAAGAAAAAATAATATTTTATATTAGGGTTTTTAAATGTAATATTAGGGGAAAACTTCAAAATCCAATTTTTGACCATATTCTAATTAGATTTCAAAAGGAAATCTAATGAATTTTGATATAGAAAAAATAGTCTTTGATATGAGGGGTTAATATGAGGGGAAAGCTTCGAAATCCAATTTCTGGCAATATCTTAATTTGAATTTACAAGGAAATCTAATCGATTCTGAAATAGAACAAATTTAGTTTTTTATATTGGAATTTTTCATGCAAGATTAGGGGAAGCATCGAAATCCAATTTTTGAACATATTTTAACAATTGGATTTTAATTTGATATTAGGGGAAAGCTTCAAAATCAAGTTTTTGTTTTTTTCCATTAGATTTCAAAAGGAAATCTAGTCGATTTTGAAGCAGGAAAAAAAAACAAAATTATATTAGGGTTTAATATAAGGGAAAAGCTTCGACATAGAATTTTTTGGCCATTTTTTATTTAATTTTTAAAAGGAAATCTAATCGATTTCGAAATAGAAAAACATACATAGTTTTTTATGTTGGGGGTTTTTATTTGATATTAAGCTTCGGAACCCACTTGTTTGCGATATTTTAATTGGATTTAAAAAGAAAGAAATCTGATCGATTTTGAAATAGAAATATGTGTATATATATATGTGTGTGTGTGTTTTTTTTTTAAATCAGTATTAGGGGGAAGCTTCGTACCCTAATACTAAAGACCCCCCCAATACTAAAAACTCCTCCAGGTGTTTGTTATTTGGGTGGGTGGGTGGGTGGGTGAAGGGGCGACTGTTTAGCAACAGGGGGAAGGGATTAAACCGTTTTTTGTTTCTAATTTCAAAATCCATGAAAATAATCTTTAAATAGAATACTGCCAAGAATAGGATTTCGAAGCTTTCGCCTAGTATCAAATAAAACACCAACACCTGAATTAAAAAAACTAAAATTGACGATTTTAAAGGACGGACCCCAATAAAAGACACCCCGGTGTTGACTAGTTTTTTATTCTTTGGGGGTGAAACCCTCACATGGTACCTTCATTTTTAAAATTGTTTCCTCAAGGGGATCAATTAAAAATCAGATTAACCAATTTGACATTTCCCAAAATTGGAAATCGCACCTAGTTTTTGTCATTTGGGGGTATATTTCGTAATAGGGAGAAAGGACTAGCAAAAAGAATGCCTGATCAAAATGATGCTGATTCTGTGTGTTACAATCTTTTTGCCCACTACAGTGTCTACAGGGTTACAAGGGATGCCGTGCCAGCTAGAGTCCCAAGTCCATTCAACCAACACCCTAATCGATGAAGTTGGACTTGTTGAAAAGGAAGTGGGACTGGACCAGTTGACATGGGGCGATGCTGACCTTCAACGGGAGCTTCGGCGCCTGAAGGACAACAGTTTGAAAATTCCGAACCTGAAATATATTTTCAAAATTGCCTTACTAAGAGTGATCCCCACCCTGACACACTATTCTGACATAGTTTCTGACATATCATCTGGACGTATATGTGGCGTATATGTTCTGACATACTATCTTACATTCTTTTCTGAGATTCTATTTGACATTCTTTCTGGCATCCTATCTGGCATCTATTCTAACATACTTTCTGGAATATACTATATTCTGATCCTGCCTTGCCATGAGTTTGGGCTGGGAGTGCTTTTATTTGCGTGGATCAATGCCAATGGCTTGAATATCCACCAAATGTTGGTTTCACATGTTTGCACCCAATGATTGCCATTACCATTGATACCCCAAAAATGGCCAGGTCCTGAATTTGAGAGTAGGTCCTGAAAAGTTTTCTGGGTACTGAAAAAACAGGACTTTGGCACAGGGTCTGAAAAAAGACGTAGGTGGAAGATTCAGGTATGCTGTTGGGTTGCAAAGCTGGGTTAATCTGAGAGGTTTATCCTCGGATTTCCCACCGCTCAATTTCATCAGTTTTCAATGGGTAAATCATGGTAAATCAATACAACAAATCTATCAATGGTGGATGTTCCATTGTCATACTTGTTTCCCAGTTGATGTCGTTGATACAAAACTCCGACCCACACAATGAGAATCTGAGTCAAACAAAGGAGATGCTGACTCCCAGCATCAAGGACGAGATTTTCTGGGATGTCTACCCTGTGATGCAGGAACTCTGAACCACCAAGAAATTTAAAATATCCCGGAGAGCGTGCAGAAGGGCACGAATTTGATTTTGGCAAAGGCGGCCACTTGCGGCCACTTGCTCTGGCGGCCACTTGCGGCCACTTGCGGCCACTTGCGGCCACTTGCTCTGGCGGCCACTTGCGGCCACTTGCGGCCACTTGCTCTGGCGGCCACTTGCGGCCACTTGCTCTGGCGGCCACTTGCGGCCACTTGCGGCCACTTGCGGCCACTTGCTCTGGCGGTCACTTGCGGCCACTTGCGGCCACTTGCGGCCACTTGCGGCCACTTGCGGCCACTTGCGGCCACTTGCGGCCACTTGCTCTGGCGGCCACTTGCGGCCACTTGCGGCCACTTGCGGCCACTTGCGGCCACTTGCGGCCACTTGCGGCCACTTGCGGCCACTTGCGGCCACTTGCTCTGGCGGCCACTTGCCGCCACTTGCGGCCACTTGCCCTGGCGGCCACTTGCGGCCACTCGATTGGCTGCAAGTGGCTGCCAGGCGTGGGTGAAACTATATTTTTCACCATTCATCTTCTCTTGGGCGGAGAATATTGGGAATTTTCCGTTGCCTGCGCACGGAAAATTTATAACATTCTCCGTGGGCGGAGTCTTGGCAATGTGAAGTATTGTACTGTCCTCATTTCTTTGAGTGAGGCACGGCCAAAATGAAACGTTCTAGGTGTGGCTTCTCGAAGCTCTCTTTTTTTCGTTGCAGCGTTGTCCTCCTCTTTTAATAAGTCCTTCCTCTTAATTGCTTCTCCTTCCTTTTCGTTTAAACTCGTGCGTTTTCGTTGTGGGTCTTTCCCTGTCGTTCGAAGTCTCTTTTTCTTTCGTTGCAGCGTTGTCCTCTTCTTTTAATAAGTCCTTCCTCTTAATTGCTTCTCCTTCCTTTTCGTTGGACAACGTGCGTTTTCGTTGTGGGTCTTTCCCTGTCCTTCCAAGTCTCTTTTTTTTCGTTGCAGCGTTGTCCGCTTCTTTCAATAAGTCCTTCCTCTTACTTGCTTCTCCTTCCTTTTCGTTGGAACTCGTGCGTTTTCGTTGTGGGTCTTTCCCTGTCCTTCCAAGTCTCTTTTTTTTCGTTGCAGCGTTGTCCGCTTCTTTCAATAAGTCTTTCCTCTTAATTGCTTCTCCTTCCTCTTCGTTTGAGCTCGGGCGTTTTCGTTGTGGGTCTTTCCCTGTCGTTCCAAGTCTCCTTTTTTTCGTTGCAGCGTTGTCCTCCTCTTTCAAGAAGTCTTTCCTCTTAATTGCTTCTCCTTCCTTTTCGTTTAAACTCGTGCGTTTTCGTTGTGGGTCTTTCCCTGTCGTTCCAAGTGTCTTTTTTTTTCGTTGCAGCGTTGCCCTCCTCTTTTAGTAAGTCCTTCCTCTTAATTGCTTCTCCTTCCTTTTCGTTAAAACTCGTGCGTTTTCGTTGTGGGTCTTTCCCTTTCGTTCCAAGTCTCCTATTTTTTTTTTTGCTTTGTCCTCCTCTTTCAATAAGTCCTTCCTCTTAATTGCTTCTCCTTCCTTTTTGTTTGAACTCGTGCGTTTTTGTTGTGGGTCTTTCCTGTCGTTCCAAGACTCTTTTTTTTCGTTGCAGCGTTGTACGCTTCTTTCAATAAGTCCTTCCTCTTACTTGCTTCTCCTTCCTTTTCGTTTAAACTCCTGCGTTTTCGTTGTGGGTCTTTCCCTGTCGTTCCAAGTGTCTTTTTTTTTCGTTGCAGCGTTGTCCGCTTCTTTTAATAAGTCTTTCCGCTTAATTGCCTCTCCTTCATTTTTGTTTGAATTTGTGTGTCTCCGTTGTGGGTCTTTCCCTGTCGTTCCAAATGTCTTTTCTTTCGTTGCAGCGTTGTCCTCTTCTTTTAATAAGTCCTTCCTCTTAATTGCTTCTCCTTCCTTTTCGTTGGACAACGTGCGTTTTCGTTGTGGGTCTTTCCCTGTCCTTCCAAGTCTCTTTTCTTCGTTGCAGCGTTGTCCTCCTCTTTTAATAAGTCTTTCCTCTTAATTGCTTCTCCTTCCTCTTCGTTTGAGCTCGGGCGTTTTCGTTGTGGGTCTTTCCCTGTCGTTCCAAGTCTCCTTTTTTTCGTTGCAACGTTGTCCGCGAATTTTAATAAGTCTTTCCTCTTAATTGCTTCTCCTTCCTTTTCGTTTAAACTCGTGCGTTTTCGTTGTGGGTCTTTCCCTGTCGTTCCAAGTCTCTTTTTTTTCGTTGCAGCGTTGTCCGCTTCTTTCAATAAGTCCTTCCTCTTAATTGCTTCTCCTTCCTCTTCGTTTAAACTCGTGCGTTTTCGTTGTGGGTCTTTCCCTTTCGTTCCAAGTCTCCTATTCTTTTTCGTTGCAGCGTTGTCCTCCTCTTTCAATAAGTCCTTCCTCTCAATTGCTTCTCCTTCCTCTTCGTTGGAACTCGTGCGTTTTCGTTGTGGGTCTTTCCCTGTCCTCTGTCCTTCCAAGTCTCTTATTTTTTTTCGTTGCAGCGTTGTCCTCCTCTTTTAATAAAAGTCCTTCCTCTTAATTGCGTCTCCTTCCTTTTTGTTTGAACTCGTGCGTTTTCGTTGTGGGTCTTTCCTGTCGTTCCAAGACTCTTTTTTTCGTTGCAGCGTTGCCCTCCTCTTTCAATAAGTCCTTCCTCTTAATTGCTTCTCCTTCCTTTTCGTTTAAACTCGTGCGTTTTCGTTGTGGGTCTTTCCCTGTCGTTCCAAGTGTCTTTTTTTTCGTTGCAGCGTTGTCCTCTTCTTTTAATAAGTCCTTCCTCTTAATTGCTTCTCCTTCCTTTTCGTTGGAACTCGTGCGTTTTCGTTGTGGGTCTTTCCCTGTCGTTCCAAGTCTCTTTTTTTTCGTTGCAGCGTTGTCCTCCTCTTTTAATAAGTCCTTCCTCTTAATTGCTTCTCCTTCCTTTTCGTTTGAACTCGTGCGTTTTCGTTGTGGGTCTTTCCCTGTCGTTCCAAGTCTCTTTTTTTTCGTTGCAGCGTTGTCCTCCTCTTTTAATAAGTCTTTCCTCTTAATTGCTTCTCCTTCCTTTTCGTTTAAACTCGTGCGTTTTCGTTGTGGGTCTTTCCCTGTCGTTCCAAGTCTCTTTTTTTTCGTTTCAGCGTTGTCCGCGAATTTTAATAAGTCTTTCCTCTTAATTGTTTCTCCTTCCTTTTCGTTTAAACTCGTGCGTTTTCGTTGTGGGTCTTTCCCTGTCGTTCCGAGTGTGGGTTACCCGCGGACAATGTGGAAAAGTTTCCGTGGGTTAGCCGCGGAAAATGTGGAAAAGTTTCCGTGGGAGGATGTCAGGCGGCCACTTGCGGCCACTTGCGGCCACTCGAGTGGCTGCAAGAGGCTGCAAGTGGCTGCCGGTGACAAGAGAATGCTGGCGGCCACTTGCGGCCACTTGCGGTCACTCGAGTGGCTGCAAGTGGCTGCAAGTGGCTGCAAGTGGCTGCCGGTGACAAGAGAATGCTGGCGGCCACTTGCGGCCACTTGCGGCCACTTGCGGCCACTTGCGGCCACTTGCGGCCACTCGAGTGGCTGCAAGTGGCTGCCATTTCCAAAATCAAATTACGCGCCTCCTGCGTGCTCAATGAAATATCCAGAACCCTGATGGAACTCGCGCACGGATGCTCTCCGACTCTGCCTCTGCTCTCTCTCTCTCTCTCTCTCTCTCTCTCTCTCTCTCTCTCTCTCCCCCCCCAGGATTCATATGCCTTATATTGCCTTGTACTTTCATCGTGACAAAACCACAAAACCCACAATCCCTGCCAGATTTTTCAGAATCAGAATCAGCTTGATCCAATTCCCACATCCTTAAGATGAGTAACCATCATCTCTGGCTATCCTTAACCCCCACCAGCTGCCTGATGAGACGACCTTTCTGCGTTGGAACGATGCCCCACTCCGGCTCCCAGAGGTCGGTGGAGTAGCGGTAGGTGTACTTGGCGCCCGGCTTGGCGCGGAACCTCAGCGGAAACGGCTGGGAAATCCACTTGAAAAATGGGAAAAACATGGGGAAATCGTGGGAAAATCCACTATCAATGGAGGTTTTTAGCTGGGAAAATCAAAGAACTAAGGAGATGTTCCAGCCATGTTCGACTACCGGTAGTCGTAGCCGTGTTTTATGTACAGTCTGATAAACTTGTGATAAACTAATCCTTGCAGATCTTTGTTGTATAGTACCATACACTTGGAAATCAACTATGATGACATGTTCCCAAACGAAGAAGGTGCTGTAATTCCGAAGAAAATCCTTCTTGTCCTTCTGGCTTGCTGCCGCTGTCCGAATGCTTGGGGGGCTACACAAATCACGGGCTCAGCCAAGGGCAGCTGTCGCCAAGCAGCTTCATGTCGTAGAAGCAGCCACCGCTGGGCCCCAAAGTGACACGGGACCAGTTGCGTCGTCGCATCGCCCTGTAGGGGTTGTCGACGGTGAATGTTTTTGGGTGATTGGAATGATTGCTTCTGATCATTCATCATGTTTTAAATACTCATTGGTGACTGATGACTGTTGCCGGTGTCCAGTGGAGTGACTTACGGGAAAATGTTAACCGGAATCCATTGATTTTTCCACCAACTGGGGGGTTCCAGTAAATTTCCCATTGAAGTTCAAATTGAATTGCAATAATTCACCAGAAATGCTTGGTTATTTTGGCATTGTTCCCTTAATCATTATCGACATACCATCTCTTAATCATTCTTAATCTAACATATTTAACATAGCCATGGGAAATGGCCCATTTATACATGGTTTACCTATTAAAAATGCTGATTTTCCATGGCTATGTTAGTCATAACCAGATGGTAGCTATTGAATCCCCAGAATTTCATAGGCGATGGCCATGAACTAAATGGATCTAACTGGGCCATGGGAAGCCCAGTGCTGGCGAATCACCTGAAAATGGCGACAGCTGCCACCGTCGCCAGCGTGGCGCTCGTAACCCAGTTGGATTGGTCAGCACCTGGCGCTGCTGGCGCTGGCAGGTTCACCAGTTTGATGTGTGAAAAAATGTGAAAATCATCATGGGAACAGAAAAAACCAGGGTTTTGCATAGTTTTGTTGTTGCGGTAGAAAAATTACCATGAGGATAAATGCTGATAAATGGAGGATTTCTGGATGCCGGGTTTTATATTTGCAGCTAGAGAGTCTGCAAATCCTTGGCGGGTTTGTGACTCTCAGCACACCTGGCATGGGAGTGTAGAGCTGTCCATGTCCAGCGCTTTCCAGGCGAGGTGCCTGTCATCCACAGGATAAGTGTTCTATTGCTGGTTTCTAACAGTTCGAACTGTTAGAGTCTTGGAGGGTACCAAGCCTCATGAAGCCATGAACTAGGCACTAGGCCAAACATTGACTTCTTGCTTCATCTGGACTTTGATTTCCTTGATCATCCCGCATAACCCAGGGAAGAGTAGTAAAATTCCGCATGCCTGATGGAACCACTGATGTGATCATGCCACATCTTAATGGTGTTCCGACATGCCAAAGCCCTGCCTGTTTGGCCTGGGGAAGGCTCACGAAAGTCAGCCCCTCCATCCCTACAACCTCCGCGGCTTAAGTCTCTCAGTTTGAGCCGATGGCTGGCACCTGTCAACACCGTTTGGTACCGAAACTCCTAGAGGTTCATCGCCCAGAAGGAGTCCTAACTTAAGCTGCTGATAGCTGGATTTTTTGCTCAACTTCATGAAGTGCAAGCAGATCAAGACAACCTCCAAAGCCCCACATGAATGAAATATGTTCAAGCGTTATATATATATATATATATGTGTGTATGTATCTCTATCTATATCTATTTATTTATCGATTTATTTATTTATTTATTCACTTATTCATTTATTTATTTACATATTCACTTATTTATTTATTTATCTAGTTATTCATTTATTCATTCACTTATTTACTTATTTACTTATTTATTTATCTATTTATTTATTCACTTATTTATATATTTATTTGTTCACTTATTTGTTTGTTTATTTGTTCTCTTAGTTATTTATTTATTCACTTATATATTTATGTATTTATTTATTTATTCACTTATTTAATTAATTATTCACTTATTTATTTATTCATCTATTTTTATTGTATATGTATTTGTATATATATATACAATATATATTAGATACGGGTCTGGTCTATTTAAATCAGGGATCCTGACGTATCAAAATGGTGCCTTAGAACCTATTAAAGGATTCTTAGAACCTGCTGTAAAATTCTTAGAACCTGTTGTCTATAAATCTGGGTCTTTTTATTACATATAGTTTAGAATCAAGTCTGCTCTATTTAAATCAGGGATCCTGACGTATAGAAATGCTGGTTTAGAACTTTTTATATATTTCTTAGAACCTATCGTATAGTTCTTAGAATCTATTCAATTTGCTTCTAAACAAATTATCATTTGTTTCTGCCTCAAACAGTTCTTGTTTTGAACAAGGTGTCATACAATTGGGTCTTACAACTTATTGCTGCATATTTGTCGCACGTGTTGTACATGATTTGATGTTTTTCAGACTACGTCTCAACAGCATAAACATGATTGCTCAATATCCAAACCTTTTGCCTTCAAGATCCCTCCTTGTCCGGACATGCATCATACCCACTGTATTTTGGCACAACCACAGTCAATGAAGTTTTTGGCAGCAGCCTTCCAGTAAGACATTGACACTGCACAAAAGCGATGTGCCACGCCGCAGCGTTGGATGAAAACAGCCTCCTTCCATGCATATGTACGTACACGCATATGCTTGATCAGTGGAAACCCACTGACAGAATAAGTTCTTGCATACAAGGATCTATACGTACAATGAGACAAAAATTGCACCATCTGCGCACGCGATTGGATATGCGTGTGAAAATTTGTATATCACATACATCATGTATGACTTTTAAATCAGGCTTTTTTTTTGGGTGGGGGTAGATAAATGATGTTCATGATGAAAGTATGCAGAAGTATGCTTTGTGCTCTCAAATTTTATGCATGCTCCATGTCAGGTATGGGCTACCATCCAGGCAATCCATGAGTGAGTGTATAAGTCAAGAATGTCTTTTCTTGCTCTTGCTATCACATGGTCCTATTGATCATTTAAACAACATATGACATATTTGATGTTTGGTTGTGAAAAAAACACGGCTGTAGCATACGATAGCAGAGAACATGATTGGTGCAGTCCCTTGTCATGCTACCATCTTTTCCAAATTTCACTGGGCCGCAGTTACAATGCACGACTGCGCGCTGATGACTGTTAGTGCGCTTAGTGCGTTGTAGCTACGCATGCTTTGTCGTGTGCTTTTGTTACAACGTATGATTCGATGATCATATCACTGTCACTGTATCTGCAAATGATGGGCTCAATTCATGAAACCGAAGGTTCAGATTTTTTTCCTTGAAACATTTTTGCAAAGGACAAGAGGGTTCCGTAGGTGGATTGAAGAAGCACGCTGCATTGCTTCAGCAGGTGGGGCAGTACAGTAGAGAGTCGTAGATCAGTTGTTACCTAGCAGCTACTAGCAAGTTAGCCAGCAGTTACCATTGTATCATTGTATCATAATTGTCACTATCATGTATTAACAAGTATTAACTATACTATACTATTTGTGGATTTTGATTAATGATTCATGGCTTAAGACCGTTCCAACGTCTACGCTTTAACATGTCACAAGTAGTCAGGTATGTGCCTTGTATCATGATGTCAAAGCAAAAGCACGTAGCGGTGTAATACCTTTACTTAAATGCTGTATGGTTCATGATACATGACTTCGACTGTACATCTTGCGGACATGGGCTGGTTTGATGAATCCTGCAGATTTTCCTTGCATGATGCAATACTTCCACTGCTTCTGGCAAGTCTTCACCGTTTCACCGGAATAGACAATGTGGTAGAATGGCCTTCTACGTTGGATGTTTCCCTGCTGGCCCTGGACTCCACCCCCATGCCCCGTAGCCGAAGTCGTTTTTTGAATTCAGGTTCTAAGATTTGAGAAATAGTTTCTAAACTTTTTTTTTGGTGAAATTACAGGTAGAAACAGTTTCTGGCAGGTAGAAACGGTAGAAACGGTTTCTGGCACCATCCGTAGGCCATTTCAGGGCTCAACTTTCTTCCATTGTTTACGTTTTTTTCCCACAGGACAGTCAGGGCTGAGTGCAATGTCCCGATAGCAAATCAACAGTGTTCTAGTCAAATCCATTTGAACACGCAAGCCGGGCCGAGCAATACGCAACTGCCAGGACATCCCAAGATGTCTCTTCAAACCCCCTTAATTTCCCCCAGAAGTTTAAGTAAGGCCGGAAATTATTTTGAACCGTGTTGACACTTCAAACTTTGGTACTTCAAGTATTGACCTCCGGATTATGCCAACATGTCTAGACTTTATGATTTCTATGGGACCCTATGTTGTCTATGTTTGATTTTCTCGTTCATGTTAAAACAGGCAATCATTTCATGAGGTTGAAAGCCAAACAGGTAGGAACCGTTGAAACCGTTTCCACCTATTTGGGCCCAAAACGGATGGAAACCGTTTCTTCCGCACAGCGCTATTATGCCCCAAAAACGAAACAGATTAGAAACCGTTTCAAACCGTTTCAAGCCGTTTCTGGCAGCTGTTTATAACATAATAGGTTGAGACCGTTGAAACCGTTTCCACCTGTATTTGTTGGAAACAGGTAGAAACCGTCGAAACCGTCCCTACGAGTCTTGAAAACACGCATAATTTTTAACATTATGGTAAGATGGCAAAGGCTTCGAGGTTGCTTAAAATACCAAGGCTCTAAGTCGTAAACTGTAAGTATTTGCAGGTTAAAACTCACCAGTTTAGGTACAAACTGCAATACAAATTCATGGTCAAACATCTGAAAGTTATATATATATGATATCAACTGTTGAATACGGTGCAAGTGTAAGTCAAAGGCTGGAAGTGTTTAAATGAAACAGTGAACTTGAAACTTAGTTGTGGCTTGTCTTTAAGTATATTGAAATGAGTGATGGAGATGCCACTATTTTTTCTTTGGGGGTTTAACGTGTGAAGCTGCTTGTACTAGTAGGTTATGCACTTAACACGTTCATTAATCGACAAGTTTTATCATCGCATATCACGGAATATTCGACAGTCAAGTTCTCATGGATCCTCTTGCAATAAAGAACATAACAAATTGTTATCAAAACAAACCTATCACTAGTTTTCAGCGCCTATTTGCTGCCTATCTGAATCTGCTTCACTAAAAAGTATGATTATACATATTCATGCAGCACAGCCTCCCATCATACTGTTTTGACGGTATGCAGTATGCTGGTTCATACCATTTCATGTAAGCATAGTAATTCTGCAATTCGCAGCACCACTCTATCCACATAGTTTTATGGCAAACAGTTCACGGCATAAGTGCATATATGACGGTATGCCGTAAATGATGATATTCAGTATGTGGCCGATGTTTGGTGGCACATAGGAAACATATGAAAAAAATGTACCTTCAGCTTCTTTCAGATTCACGATGTTATTGTTTACTGCCCTGAATTTAGCATTTAATTCAACCTGATTCGCATTCCCACTTATGAACCCATGCAAGGTATCCTACTGGGATAACTGAAGCAAACACACAGTGTTCCACCAAATCCCAGTTTCAATCATACTATGCGCTTGGAAAGAAGAAATACATGTACCACCGGGTCCAACATCAAGGCCACGAAGTTTGGTTTGCCTTTTGAAAAACCAACTCACACCCAGCAGTACAGTTGATAGATTGCTGTGTGGGCAAATCTGCAGTGTCCGGCTGGATTTTGGCAGATTTTGGCTAATATGGGCTATAATTGTAATAGGTTCCAAGAAATTATGATCAGGTTCTAAACATGCCCTGTGTGGTCAAAATGCCCACAGGTAAATAGACCAAACACGGTTCTAAAATATATATATAATATGATTATATCTAATATATAATATAATATATATATATATTAATATATAATATAATATATATGTGTGTGTGTGTGCATGACTTTACTGCCAACTGTTGGCCATTTAGAAGGTTCCACCGGACCATTGGGCACTTCCAACCACGTCCAAGGGCCCCCAGAGCCCCCGGCTGCGTTCTCTAAGGTTTGATCGTTGCACAGCTGCTCCTTGCTGCCGAGAAAGGTTAGGGCCTGAGCCACGGCAAAACGGATGCACCAGCTGCACCAGCTCTGCACCCTATAAAGCTATATGGAAATTTGTACAATTTTGTACATGCACTTTGGGCAATGAAAATGTCCTAAAATGATCTAATTAATGTCTAATGTCCAAACTAGGGCATTGGGCTAGGGAAATCAACAGCATCAGGTGCAATCCCTGAGTTGGCTTTCTGGGGGAAAACTCTGCAACATCTCCGAAATAAATTGCGAATGTCCAGGTATATATCTTGCTGAATTTTCCCTCATCACCACTATCCAAATCCAAAATCTGCATCCCTTCTAAGCCGTCCTCAGAGCAACTCGTCACAGATGTCAAACTCGCCTCAAGCAATCTGAAAGACAGCAGAATCACAGCAATCACCGGGGTCCAAAGAAAAATCTGCAGGAAACCCAATTTCGACACCACCCAGCTATTAGATATGGTGGTTTCATATCTCCTTTCCACTGGCGGAGATGACATGAGATGGCGACTTTGGAGCATAATTGGTATGCTGGCTCCGGGCTTTCCATAAATGGGGGGGGTCCCCAAATCGGCCCGCAAATGGTTGGTTTATGATGAAAAAATCCCATTAAAATGGATGATTTAGGGGTACCCATATTTTAGGACACCATCATATGCTACCATCAGAAAACCATCGCGATTGCGCGCTTACTTTGGACGTTTGCAAGTCTTTATCCGAGATATCCCCCACCCCGACGCTAGCATCGTGGGGTGATAAGCCAAGTTCTGTAAGATGGGCGTCTGCAACATGGGGGTGCGAGCACAGCCCAACATGAACGTGTGAATGAGAAAATACTGGAATAAACCATTGGTTTTGGTGCTATTCTCATACTATTCACAAAGCTGAACATATCCAAGCATCATAGAATTAGAATCTGGGGTATCTATGGTGATCTTTATTCTTTTAAAAAAAATATACCTGAGAAGGGGGAAACGAAAACCAGCATCCCATCTAACCCTATTTTCCCCAATGATTTTTCACCCACTGACTTTTCCCCCATATACGTTTCATCCCTATACTTTTCACCCAGAAACTCTTCACCCAGAAACTCTTCTTGCACATACTTTTCACCCATATACTTTTCACCCACAGGCTCTTCACCCAGAAACTCTTCTTGCACAGACTTTTCACCCATATACTTTTCACCCAAAGACTCTTCACCAGAAACTCTTCTTGCACTTACTTTTCACCCATATACTTTTTACCCAGAGACTCTTCACCCAGAAACTCTTCTTGCACATACTTTTCACCCATATACTTTTCACCCAGAAACTCTTCACCCAGAAACTCTTCTTGCACATACTTTTCACCCATATACTTTTCACCCAGAGACTCTTCACCCAGAAACTCTTCTTGCAAATACTTTTCGCCCATATACTTTTCACCCAGAGACTCTTCACCCAGAAACTCTTCTTGCACATACTTTTCACCCATATACTTTTCACCCAGAGACTCTTCACCCAGAAACTCTTCTTGCACATACTTTTCACCCATATACTTTTCACCCAGAGACTCTTCACCCAGAAACTCTTCTTGCACATACTTTTCACCCATATACTTTTCACCTAGAGACTCTTCACCCAGAAACTCCTCTGCACATACTTTTCACCCATATACTTTTCACCCAGGGACTCTTCACCCAGAAACTCTCCTTGCACATACTGTTCGCCCATACACTTTTCACCCACAGACTCTTCACCCAGAAACTCTTCTTGCACATACTTTTCACCCATATACTTTTCACCCAGAGACTCTTCACCCAGAAACTCTTCTTGCACTTACTTTTCACCCATATACTTTTCACCCAGAGACTCTTCACCCAGAAACTCTTCTTGCACATACTTTTCACCTATATACTTTTCACCCAGAGACTCTTCACCCAGAAACTCTTCTTGCACATATGTACTTTTTACCCAGAGACTCTTCACCGAAAAACTCTTCGCCCAGAAACTCTTCTTGCACATACTTTTCACCCATATACTTTTCACCTAGAGACTCTTCACCAAGAAACTCCTCTGCACATACTTTTCACCCATATACTTTTCACCCAAAGACTCTTCACCCAGAAACTCTTCTTGCACATACTTTTCACCCATATACTTTTCACCCAGAGACTCTTCACCCAGACACTTTTCTTGCACATACTTTTCACCCATATATTTTTCACCCAGAGACTCTTCACCCAGAAACTCTTCTTGCACATACTTTTCACCCATATACTTTTCACCCAGAAACTCTTCTTGCACATACTTTTCACCCATATACTTTTCACACACAGGCTCTTCACCCAGAAACTCTTCTTGCACTTACTTTTCACCCAGAGACTTTTCACCCAGAAACTCTTCTTGCACATACTTTTCACCCATATACTTTTTACCCAGAGACTCTTCACCCAGAAACTCTTCTTGCACTTACTTTTCACCCACAGACTTTGCACCCTCAGACTTTTCACCCAAGAAAACCGGACCTAGAAGGAATCGATACCCACCGTCACTGTTTTGCCGCATGGTACATTACCCTGAAAAACCCATATTTTTTGCGCGCTTAAAACACCATCTATTCACGACGTTTTCGGTCCCTTGAGGCACCTACCCCCCCCCCAGACCCCCTATTCTCACTTCGTTCGCAAATAACAACTAGCCAGCTTCCCGGCCGGCTTTCGTATTATACCATCACTATACCATTTAATATATATCATTAATATACCATTATTATACCATTAATATGCCCCATTTACATCATCTTCTGCTTGGTCTTTTTCCGGCCTTGGCGGCTTCGGCCTGGAAGGCAGCATCATCATCTACGCAGGCCTGCAACCTGCGATTTTCCACGATAACACCCGTCAGAAAACTGGAGTTGTAAGATGATGTTCCAATATTTTCCATGATTCCCCATGATTTTCCATGATTTTCCATAATTCTCCATGATTTTCGATGATTCTCCATGATTCTCCATGATTCTCCATGATTCTCCATGATTTTCCATGGTTCTCCATGATTTTCCCAAGAACAAATTCAGGATGGCGGATGGCACTCTTGATGGCACTAAAGTGGGAAGTCAAAAACAGAGGTCAAAATGGAAGCGCTTAGTCCTTGGGTTTCACCCCTTTCGGCCTCCGATCGCCGAAGTCCACGCCTTAGGTTGCAAGAGTGGACGATCTAGATCGTTCAAGGTGAATGTGCAGGTCTGATTTGGTAACTGATGGCATCTGTTAATTAATTATGTATCTTGCAGTGTTTTTTGGCTGCCATTGCAGTTCCTTCAGGAGTTGGCATTCACATATGGCAGGCATCTGGCGAATTGCAGTTCTTCCAGGTCAACTAACATCTTCACCCGCAATGATGCCCCGAAGCCGAAGCCGATCGTAAAATTTCATGGGAAGTTGATGCCTTTCCATATGACAGCAAAAAGATGCAGAAAGTTGCCTGCAGTTCATTTCTTGGCTAATAGATTGGGAGCATGCTGAGTTGGTCCCTAAATTCATTCTGAATTGCGAAGTGACTTGTAACGCGTGCACCTTACCCGAATCATCTGCAAAAGAGTGGGTGTTCGATTTCCAGATAGGTAACGCAAGAGATGCAAAACCTAGAACCCGAAGAGGTGCATCTCCAAGTGACAAAAAATGTCTCGCACATCCACCATTTCCAGGAGGTCACAACCCTTGATTTTCAGTAGCACCAGCAGCCATCTGTCAGATTTGCCAGGAATCACTTCTAACATGGTACTACATCTTATGACATGTTAAGACCTGTCATAACTATAATAAACATAAGAACTAATTGTCCCAATAAACATGTCATATCATGTCATTGGTGCACCACTATTTTATGTTTCGTAGGAATCCTCAACGGCCGGGGGGGCCATCGGATCCAAAGATCGCCGATTCGGATCAGGCTACGATCGTAGTCTGTGACCTCCACATCCGCCTCACTCGGCGCGTCGGCATCCAACAGCTCCGACCTGGCACGTCCGGTGATGTGCACGTATGTAAATATAGATATAGATATATATATATATATATGTGCGCGTGTGTGTGTGTGTGATGATGATAGAAGGAAGTTTTGAAATCAAACTTTTGAAATATTGACAAATGGAAAAGCAGAGGTGAGAGCAGTCAGATGGGATCAAAAATGGCACGCCGAAGTCAGGCTGTGGCGCGAAGCACATTTTGAAGTCAAAATGCTCCAAACACCTCAGTCTCGGAGTATTTTGGCAAGTTGAGATGTTGAAAAAATGCACGCCGCTGGCGCGAAGCACGTGTGCAAGTCAAAATGTGCAAAACATGGTCGGAGCACTTTTGGACGTTGAGCTGTTGCAAAAGTGCAGGCCGTTGTGGCGCGAAGCACGTGTCGAATTCAAAATGTTAAATGCACCACGGGTTCGGAGCACTTTTGGAAGTTAAGATGCTGAAAAAGTGCACGCTGTTGTGGCTTGATTAGATTAGATGAGATTAGATTAGATTAGATTAGATTAGATAGGTAGGTAGGTAGGTAGACATGGTAGAAAGATAGAAAGAGAGAGGAGACTCACAGCCTCAACCACCTTTCGGTCCATCAGTGGGTTCGCTCTGCCTTCCATGCATCACGACAACTCGCCGCTCCTATAGGTTTCCTATCTTCGAATCTTCCGCCACCGCCTCCTGCGGTAGTACTGGTATGGTGATTATATGGTGGTTATATTAGATGTACTCTTCTGCTACATATAGATACAGATATACAGATATGCCACCAAAAAAATGTGTGTGCGCTATTTCATTTACAGAAAATATAACTATGTATCTTCACATGCGCGCAAGATTCTTCTAATGTTCACTCTGCATCCAAAGAAATGAACACGATAAGTTTTATTATATTATATATAAATATATGTATGTATATATATATATATATTTATAAATTACACACAGTAAGTGTGTGTGTGTGTGTGTGTGGTACAGTGGATCCACCAAATCTCTTGCATGGAGACAATCTCCTTTGTCACTTGCACTCAGCAATACACTCAATTGCCCACTCCACCCATGAAGGGCAGGCTATGTGGGAAATTCACCCGGGACTATCACCTATTGCAAGAGTGTAAATCATACAGCACGAAGACATCCAAGCATTTTAGATCCAACAACAGTTTACCCAAGATCCAATTCCCTTTCTCTCGTGCTCCATCTTCCAAGATGACAACAGCGAATCAACCATGGCACCAAGCATGGCACCTAGCACCCACGCTGCCACCCCATCCCAGGTCCCACCTGACCGAGGTATAACTGGCAAAGCTTTTGGCCACAGCCATCAACGTCTCTGGCAGGGGCCTCAGGCCACCGTCGATGCTGATGTAGCTGGTGATCAGCGTCTTCTGCAGGATCTCCTGAAAACTGAATGTGCAAGGATGCGCGAATTGAAGAGATCAACAACCACCAATTGTTGTGGGTTATATGTAATTCCACTGCACAACTTAAATGACTATATTAGTAGTCATCACTTATGTATTTGATGATAGTGGTGTTTCATATTATATCATTAATGTCAACCCCGGATTTATAAACCATGGTTTATTACTTGGGGTGATATTCCCCCAGCAATCATAATCTGATTCTCAAGTGGTACTCCCCGAATTAAACAGCCTAGGGGTATATTAACCTCCAGCATGGACATTATATCATATTGTATCCCATTATAATCATATTATGATATCATCATAATATGTCCCATTTATATTTATATCATATCCTTAGGTCCTTATATAGTCACCACTTATATAAGAGTTGATTGCATTTGAATGTATTTGTATATATGACATACTAATTCATATTATATCACTATATAATGTGACACATCCAATTATATCCTTAGAAAATCCCAGTGTTCTATCCGAGCTTCTCCGTTCCCTGTGTCCACTTGCTTCGGTGGCAGCGTGGGGAGATAAGCTGCACAGCCAGGTAGGGGAGCCGACATGCCTGGGACGTAGGGGACCGGAACCGGGGGTTATTTAACGTAGCGAACTGGACAATCATCAGTTTTGAATATTTGTAATACGTAAATCATCAGGTTTTTCATCTATGAATTCCATGGAATTTCCATAATCATATTGTTTGATCAATGGATCCGTTTAAGGGAAAATCTTAACAGGAAACCGGAAACTATGGTTCTTATTCTTATCATCAAAATTTACTGTAGTGGTTTCCTGTCAAATTTCCCTTAAAACCAATCCGATGAGTTTGTGTGCAAAGGAGAAACCATGGGAAACTATAGCTACAGCAGAAAAAACGGGCAGCCAAAAAAAGGAATTAGACATAAAAGATGGAAATTGAAAAAAATCAATGAAATATGACAACATTGGAAATCAATGAAGAGGTGGAATCACTAAAACAAATATCAATAGCAATATGTATATAATGGAATCGTGCAAAAAAAAACGAATCAGAACAAGAAAAGAATGGCAGGGAAATCCAGAAAGCAACTCCGAAAAATTGGGAAGGGTGAGACAAGGTGAATGAGAAGAAAAGGAAATGGGACATGCCAGGTCGCACTGTGCCGTACCCACAGAACTGGCTTCATGTGGGGTCAGGGTCAACATCTGCACATTTGACAATTCGCAGCCGAGGGACTGCCATAAGTCAACTGCGGTTTTATCTCCAAGTAGCCCGCACGCACCCAATTGGATTTGATATCCTTATGCTGGCTGGCTGGATGAAAGAGGAAATGTCCATGGAACCACCAGTGCCTACATGCGACAAAATCTAGCAGGGACTTGCGCAGGTTTTGGACGGTTTTGGGCCCATTCATGAGATTTGATGATTCTGCAATTCCTCCACAAGACTTCCACTGCCAAACTGGGACAGGATGGAATATCATGGGAATCGTGAACAATGGCCAAAAAGCTGTTCCCAAGAACCAAGCAATAGGCGAGGCAGGTGTCCAACGGACAATGCTGCATGCTGTCACTTGCCGGAAAACATGCCAAGAAATGTCCGAGGCCTATCGTTTGTCGTTCAGATAAAAATTGCTCAGGTCATCTTCAGCCGAAGATTCGCACAGCTCATTGCAGTGACACAGCAAGAAGCGCCCACAAGCCTGACATGTCAGGAAAGGTCACCCATGCAGTTGGCATATTTTGGTATGTCGACTGCCTAAAGGCCCCCCATCTCAATTTGCATACACCCATGCAGACACATACGATCTACATAACATCAACATGTGTTCTTTGTTCTGTATACATGTATATATATATATATGTATATACTACTGAAAAGTTTGGGGGGTGAGACCCAAATGGGGTGAGAAAACCACCTTTAAAAATATGAGAAAACATGGGAAATTAGGGAAAATCATGGAAGATAATGAAGAACATATGACCACATGACAAGGGACATAAAAACATGACAATTTGAGAATTTGACAGTTTGCGAGAACTGTGGCTCAAATTTCTCAGCCAATGCGCTTGGATGGTATCCAGCACGAGTTTGCAATGTCAAGGGCTCAGGTTCGTACAAAGCCTGTGGGCAGATCCATTACATGTGATTCTCAAAGGAGAATCAGGACAGCAGTGGTCTCCTGTTTCTTGAAGGTCAAAACATCTTCAAATGAATGGGCTTCAAATGGCAGGGTCTCACAGAGGGCAAGGTAGGGCAGGGTCTCGCCCATCAAACATCTTCAAATAAATAAGAGCAGATGGCAGGGTCTCACACATCAAGGAAGGCAGAATCTCACATAAAGGCAGGGCTTCACAGAAGACAGGGTCTCGCCCACTAAACAAAGGCAGGGTCTCACAGAAGGCAGGGCATCATAAAATAAAACATAAATAAACAAAGTCAGGGTTTCTCACAGAAGGAAGAGTCTCACAGAAGGCAAAGCCTCACAGAAGCCAGGGTCTCACAGAAGGCAAGGCCTCACAGAAGCCAGGGTCTCACAGAAGGCAAGGTCTCACAGAGGGCATGGTCTCACAGACAGCAAGGTGTGTCACTCATAGCAGGGACTCACACAAGGCATGGTTTCACAGAACACAAGGTGTCACATGTTGAACTGAGGCCTAACTCCCACAGAAGGCAGGGCATCACAGAAGGCAGGGCCTCACAGAAGGCAAGGCCTCAAAGAAAGCAAGGTCTCACAGAGGGCCCAACATTATGAACAAAGGCAGGGTCTCAGAGAAGGAAGGGCCTCACAGAAGGCAACGCCTCACAGAAGCCAGGGTCTCACAGAAGGCCAAGTCTCACAGAAGGTCTCGCAGAAAGGCTTCACAGAAGACACAGTCTCGCCCATTGAACAAAGCCAGGCTCACAGAAGGCAGGGGGGTGCCAAGCCTAGTTTGGCTACAAGCATGCGTATCACATATGGCGCAATGCAGGGTCTCACACAATAGACAGGGAAATAAAGGATTCCGCACCTGAAGGTGTTTTCACCCGTGAAATCACACGCTCCCGAACTGTTGCTCTCCTCTACTGCTCCCACACGCGAGCTGCTCTTGCTCACTTTCCGGCCCTGGACACTCTTCCATAACTGAAGCTTAGGACTTTATATTTGGTCTTCGATAGGAGCAAGATTCAATCTATAGACATGCTGCACATTTTCCGATAAGAACAGATGGCAGGGTCTCACACATCAAGGAAGGCAGGGTCTCACAGAAAGGCAGGGCTTCACAGAAGACAGGGTCTCGCCAGGGTCTCACAGAAGGCAGCAGGGTATCATAGAATATAGTTAAGGACAGCTGGTAGGCAGGGATCCGCGCTGATGATCTAGTAAGCAGATTAGGTACACTTAAGTACCCCCATGATAGCAAATTCTGAGGTACACTTCTGCCCACTGGGGTGCCTTTGTTTGTATGTTGTATGTAGCTGAATCTGCCTACTGGGGCCGGGGTTCCCACCATTATGTATATAAACAAATTACATATACCTCAGAATTTGCTATCACGGGGGTACTTAAGTGTACTTGCCAACTAGATGGGCATGGGGGTACAATTCTTACTAGATATTACTAGATCATCAGCGCGGATCCCTGCCTACAGGCCATCCTTAGCTATGAATAGTATCGGTGGGAGATGCACCCTCTGCCAACTGGTAGGAGTGGCGGTCTTGATTTTTCTTGCACCTAGTATCCAATACCCCAAGGTCATGAAACACATAGTACTGCAGTAAGCAGATGGTGGGGGGGGCGGGTTTGCTTTCTTTTTCCCCTCTTCTTGGTCCTTCTCTACCCCATGATGGAACTACATTACTATTTGCTCCTAATTTGCGGGGTTGTATGGGTCCCCGTGCGGACAGGCAGCGTACATGCATACATTAAGGATAGACAGTATAGACAGTGCTAGTGCTGGTGCTAGTGTTAGTGCCAGTGCTGTTCAGCAAATGGAGCCGCGAACTGAGGCGATGTCTCTCTATCTATCTATATATCTATATCTACCTATCTACCTATCTATTTGTATATATGCACATGTCTATGTATATGCTCATTATATCCTCAATGGAAAGGAGGTGCAGTAAGCAGAAGCCACAATATGTTTCGCACCCTTCTGAGGTACACTTCTGCCTACTACCCCTGCTTGTCCAAAACCTGCGAAAATAGCCTCCCCGACGAACATGCTAAAAACACACCAAATCGGACACATTTTAGGGCAGTAGTAACACTAAATTTCCTGCCTCCTGCCTACCGGACGTCTCAGACTATAAGCCAAGTCAAGGTCTCACAGAAGGAAGGGTCTCACAAAAGGCAAAGCCTCACAGAAGCCAGGGAGGCAAGGCCTCACAGAAGCCAGAGTCTCACAGAAGGCAAGTCTTAGAGGGCAAGGTCTCACAGAAAGCAAGGTGTGTCACTCATAGCAGGGACTCACACAAGGCATGGTTTCACATCTGAAACAAAGGCATGGTTTCACAGAACATAAGGTGGCACATGTTGAATTGAGGCTTAACTCTCACAGAAGGCCGGGCCTCACAGAAGGCAGGGCCTCACAGAAGGCAGGGCCTCACAGAATGCAAGGTCTCACAGAAAGCAAGGTCTCAGAGAAGGAAGGGTCTCACAGAAGGCAAAGCTTCACAGAAGCCAGAGTCTCACAGAAAGCAAGGCCTCCCAGAAGCCAGGGCCTCGCAGAAGGGCAAGATCTCACAGAGGGTCTCACAGAAAGGCAAGGCTTCACAGAAGACAGAGACCATTAAACAAAGGCAGAGTCTCACAGAAGGCAAGGCCTCACAGAAGCCAAGGTCTCACGGAAGGCGAAGTCTCACAGAGGGCAAAGCCTCACAGAAAGCAAGGTGTGTCACTCATAGCAGGGACTCACATAAGGCACGTTTTTACATCTGAAACAAAGGCATAGTCACACATACGCAAGGTCTCACATGTTGGATGAAGGCCTAGCTCTCACAGAGGCAGGTCCTCACAGAAGGCAGGGCCTCACAGGATGCAAGGTCTCACAGAATGCAAGGTCTCACAGAGGGTCTAACATTATGAACAAAGGCAAGGTCTCACAGAAGGCACAGGAGGGAAGGCCTCACAGAAACGCAGGCTCTCACAGACTGCAGGGCCTGACTGAAGGCAAGGCCCAACATGTGAAAGAAGGCTGGGTCTCATAGAAGGCAGGGTCGCACATAGGACAGAAGGCAAAACTTCACATGTGAGAGAAAGCAAGGTCGGACATGTGACAAAAGGTATGGTCTCACATATGGCAGAAGAGGGTCTCGCATATGACAGAAGGCAGGGTGTCACACACGAAAGAAGGAGGGGTCTCGCACATGACAGATTGCAGGGTCTCACAGATCTAACAGGGTCTCGCATGACAAGGCCTCACTCACTGGGCAAGCAAATTCAAATAAAGGTCGTAAACAGGCCAGAAGGGAAGGCATCAGAGAAGGCAGGGCGTCATAGCAATTTCTCGCCAAAAAAAGCATATTGCAGAAGTCTGGGTGCAGCATGGTTTCACAGATGGCAAGGTCTCACGGAGGGGAAGGCAGGGTCTCACAGGAGGCAGGGTCCCACATCTGAAAGAAAGCATCTTATTTGCAAAGGAAGCATAGGAAAGCATTTTTTTTTTCCGTGAAGGAAGCATAGGAAAGCAAAATGTTTTTTTTCCCGTGATTCTTATGTTTTTCTCTTGTTTTTACCAAATAATCATGTGCCTTCCATGTTTTTCCTGGCAACCCTGGAAAACATCTAATGGGAGGGGTTTGGGAAGGATTATGGGGTGTGTGGGGAGGTGGGTGGGGGGGTTGGTGGTGGTGGAGGTGGTGGGGGTGGGAAGGGGAGGGGTTAAGGAGAATGGAAGGGGTTGGGCAAAGTGTTAAGGGGGTGTGGAGGGGGGTGGGGGGGCGGGGGTGGACAGGAGGGGGTGTGCTGAGGGAGGGAAGTCTTGCTCGCCCCGTTAATTGCGTTTTCCTCGCCCCGTTAATGTTGTCGAACGTTTGTCGGAGGAGGGGGTGGGAGGGATTAAGGGAGAATGGAAGGGGTTGGGGAGGGTGTTAAGGGGGTGTGGAAGGAGGTGGAAGGGGGTGGGGGTGGACAGGAGGGGGGGTGGTCCTGCTCGCCCCGTTAATTGCGTTTTCCTCGCCCCGTTAATGATGTCGAACGTTTGTCGGAGGAAGGGGTGGGAGGGATTAAGGGAGAAGGGAAGGGGTTGGGGAGGGTGTTAAGGGGGCGTGGAAGCGGGTGGAAGGAGGTGGGGGTGGACAGGAGGGGGTGGTGGTCCTGCTCGCCCCGTTAATTGCGTTTTCCTCGCCCCGTTAATGTTGTCGAACGTTTGTCGGAGGAAGCGGTGGCGGGATCGTGGCGAAATGGGCGGGGGCCTGTTTTTTGTTCGGGTGTTCCTTTGGTGTGCCGGCTTTTTGGTTTTGGATGTCCCCTGGGGTTGCCCCCTTGGGGCCCGGGTGTGCTTTGGTTTTTTTTGTGGGAGGTGGATCGGAACCGGAGGGGGTGGTGGTCCTGCTCGCCCCGTTAATTGCGTTTTCCTCGCCCCGTTAATGTTGTCGAACGTTTGTCGGAAATCTGCCCTATTCCGACCCTTCCAGCTGCTGTGAGACGCTGCCTTCTGAAAGACCCTACCTACTAGGCTTCTGTCCTGCGAGATCCTGTTAGATCTGTGAGACTTGCAATCTGTCATCTGTGAGACCCTTCCTTCTTTCGTGTGTGAGACCCTGCCTTCTGTCATAAGCGAGACCCTGTTAGATCTGTGAGACCTTGCAATGTGTCATGTGCGAGACCCTCCTTCTTTCGCGTGTGAGACCTTGCCTTCTGTCATATGCGGGACCCTCTTCTGCCATATGTGAGACCCTACCTGTTGTCACATGTAAGACCTTGCTTTCTCTCACATGTGAAGTTTTGCCTTTTGTCCTATGTGCGACCCTGCCTTCTATGGGACCCAGCCTTCTTTCACATGTTGGGCCTTGCCTTCAGTCAGGCCCTGCAGTCTGTGAGAGCCTGCGTTTCTGTGAGGCCTTCCCTCCTGTGCCTTCTCTGAGACCTTGCCTTTGTTCATAATGTTAGACCCTCTGTGAGACCTTGCTTTCTGTGAGACCTTGCATTCTGTGAGGCTTTGCCTTCTGTGAGGCCCTGCCTTCTGTGAGAGTTAGACCTCAGTTCAACATGTGACACCTTGTGTTCTGTAAAACCATGCCTTTGTTTCAGGTGTGAAACCATGCCTTGTGCGAGTCCCTGCTGTGAGTGACCCACCTTGCTTTCTGTGAAGTTTTGCCCTCTGTGAGACTTTGCCTTCTGTGAGACCATGGCTTCTGTGAGGCCTTGCCCTCTGTGAGGCCCTGGCTTCTGTGAGGCTTTGCCTTCTGTGAGACCCTGACTTGGTTTATTTTATGATACCTTGCCGTTTGTGAGGCCCTGCCTTTGTTTAAGGAAGTCCCAGGGCCGGTCCTGTCATTCTGCCGCCAACCAGAAAGTGAGCAAAAGCAGTTCGCGTGTGGGAGCAGTAGAGGAGAGCAACAGTTCGGGAGCGTGTGATTTCATGGGTGAAAACACCTTCAGGTGCGGAATCCATTGTTTCCCCCTGTCTATTGTGTGAGTCCCTGCTATGAGTGACACACCTTGCTTTCTCTAAAGTTTTGCCCTCTGCTAAACCTGGCCTTCCGTGAGACCCTGGCTTCTGTGAGGCCTTGCCTTCTGTGAGACCCTGGCTTCTGTGAGGCTTTGCCTTCTGTGAGGCCCTTCCTTCTGTGAGACCCTGACTTAGTTTATTTTTGTGATACCCTGCCGTCCGTGAGACCCTGCCTTTGTTTAATGGGCGAGACCCTGTCTCCTGTGAAGCCCTGCCTTTCTGTGAGACCCTGCCTTCCTTGATGTGTGAGACCCTGACTTCTGTTCTAATTTATATCGAAAGCTACATATCTATAGATTGTATCTTGCTCCTATCATTGGCCAAATATAAAACCCTAAAACTTCAGTTTTGGAAGAATGTCCAGGGCCGGTCCTGTCATTCTGCCGCCAACCAGAAAGTGAGCAAGAGCAGTTCGCGTGTGGGAGCAGTAGAGGAGAGCAACAGTTCGGGAGCGTGTGATTTCACGGGTGAAAACACCTTCAGGTGCGAGGTCCTTTATTTCCCTGTCTATTGTGAGAGACCCTGCATTGCGTCATATGTGATACGCATGCCTGTAGCCAAACTAGGCTTGGCACCCCCTGCCTTCTGTGAGACCCTGCCATTGTGTAATGGGCGGGACCCTGTCTTCTGTGAAGCCCTGCCTTTCTGTGAGACCCTCTGTGAGATCTTGCCTTCTGTGAGACCATGGCTTCTGTGAGGCCTTGCCTTCTGTGGGACCCTGGCTTCTGTGAGGCTTTGCCTTCTGTGAGGCCCTTCCTTCTGTGAGACCCTGACTTAGTTTATTTTATGATATCCTGCCTTCTGTGAGACCTTGCCTTTGTTTAATGGGCGAGACCCTGTCTTCTGTGAGGCCCTGCCTTTCTGTGAGACCCTGCCTTCCTTGATGTGTGAGACCCTGCCATCTGTTCTAATTTATATCGAAAACTGGACCAAATATAAAATCCTAAGCTTCAGTTATGGAAGAGTGTCCAGGGCCGGTCCTGTCATTCTGCCGCCAACCAGAAAGTGAGCAAGAGCAGCTCGCGTGTGGGAGCAGTAGAGGAGAGCAACAGTTCGGGAGCGTGTGATTTCACGGGTGAAAACACCTTCAGGTGCGAGGTCCTTTATTTCCCTGTCTATTGTGTGAGACCCTGCATTGCGTCATATGTGATACGCATGCCTGTAGCCAAACTAGGCTTGGCACCCCCCTGCCTTCTGTGAGACCCTGCCTTTGTTTAGTGGGCCAGACCCTGCCTTCTGTGAAGCCCTGCCTTTCTGTGAGACCCTCTGTGAGGTCTTGCCTTCTGTGGGACCCTGGCTTCTGTGAGGCTTTGCCTTCTGTGAGACCCTTCCTTCTCTGAGACCCTGCCTTTGTTCATAATGTTGGACCCTCTGTGAGACTTTGCTTTCTGTGAGACCTTGCATTCTGTGAGGCCCTGCCTTCTGCGAGGCCCTTCCTTCTGTGAGAGTTAGGCCTCAGTTCAACATGTGACACCTTGTGTTCTGTGAAACCAGGCCTTTGTTTCAGATGTGAAACCATGCCTTGTGTGAGTCCCTGCTATGAGTGACACGCCTTGCTTTCTGTGAGACCTTGCCCTCTGTGAGACCTTGCCTTCTGTGAGATCCTGGCTTCTGTGACGCTTTGCCTTCTGCGAGGGGCCTTCCTTCTGTGCTGCCTTCTGTGAGACCCTGCCTTTGTTTAATGGGCGAGACCCTGTCTTCTGTGAAGTCCTGCCTTTCTGTGAGACCTTGCCTTCCTTGATGTGTGAGACCCTGCCATCTGTTCTAATTCATTTGAAGATATTTGAAGATGTTTGATGGGCGAGACCCTGCCCTACCTTGCCCTCTGTGAGACCCTGCCATTTGAAGCCCATTCATTTGAAGATGTTTTGACCTTCAAGAAACAGGAGACCACTGCTGTCCTGATTCTCCTTTGAGAATCACATGTAATGGATCTGCCCACAGGCTTTGTACGAACCTGAGCCCTTGACATTGCAAACTCGTGCTGGATACCATCCAAGCGCACTGACTGAGAAGTTTGAGCCACAGTTCTCGCAAACTGTCAAATTCTCAAATTGTCATGTTTTTATGTCCCTTGTCATGTTGTCATATTTTTTCATTATCTTCCATTATTTTCCCTAATTTCCCATGTTTTCTCATATTTTTAAAGGGGTTTTTCTCACCCCATTTGGGTCTCACCCCCCAAACTTTTCAGTGAATATATATATATATACATGTATATATATATATATATATATTATATATATATATGTGTGTGTGTGTGACTGTGTGTATGTGTGTGTGTATGTCTGTGTGTGTTTGCGCGTTTTCATCCAATTGTTAAGGTGCCCAAATATCATACAACCAAAACTTTTGGTTAGTTGCCACATCACCGGCATCACCATATGATGAGTGATGAAGTTCAAAATTACACTCAACATCGCATTCTTGTAGGGCATCCAATACATCCAAAATTGACCTATGCCCATTGACGTCCGATCCTCACCTGCCATCTTCCCAAAGTGCTGGCTGAGACTGGAACTTGCCAAGGGACATTCATCTGTATGCCACCCCAGCGATGCAGAAAAGGTGTCGCCAGTGTTGGCGGCGTGGTGCAAATGTAGCCTCCAAGACATAGCAAAACGCAGGGGCAATTTTGACTCTTCTCTGTAGCAGGTATCAGAAGATTAAATAGATAATGATAAATGTTCAGCGTATTTGTACAAATATAATATAATATAATAAAATACAATATAATACAAAATAACATAACATAACATAAAATAATATAATATAATATAATACAATATAATACAATATAATACAATATAATATAATATAATACAATACAATATAATATAATATAGTACAATATAATATAATACAATATAATACAATATAATATAATATAATACAATACAATATAATATAATACAATAATATATAATATAATACAATATAATATAATACAATATAATAAGACAGATAGATAGATAGATAGATAGATAGTTAGATAGATAGATAGATAGACAGATAGATAGATAGATAGATAGTTAGATAGATAGATAGATAGACGTAGATTTATGCAAATATTGGTACCCAGATGTACCCACTATTTAAGAGAGCACATCCTGGGATATCCAGATGCTCCACCTCCCAGGGCGTCAGCCCCAGGTGGCTGTTCACAGGAGAGACCAGTGATGTTGAAAGCCAGGGCTGCGGTACCTGCTGCGCCCATGATGGCACTGGATGACTCTGGATAACGGCTGGAAGTTAAAAGCTGAGAGAAGGGCTGGAGTCATGGTAGCTGTTTTCGGTGGTTTTCAGGGGGGAGTTAGGGATACCAACAGATCCGACTCATTGGATGGCCTCTGAAGGTAGCAAATGGCTCGAGAAAGTGGGAAGTACGACCACATACAACCACCTTTCTTTGGGTCGTCATGGGGTTGTTGTAGAGCCCCTCCCACCACAAGAGTGCTTGGCTCACTCAACTAATTTCAAGACCCTGTTGCCTTCAGGTCGGGTCACTTTAGCTTGTCATTCCAACATATCAACACATAGGACAATCATCAATGATTTCTGTTCGGCCAATTAGAGTTGAGAGCAACTCCAAAATGATCAAAGAACATTGCAAGTGATTGCGTGGCGAGCATGGAACCCCAAAATGCTCTCTCCATCTATTTCCATGTAGAAATTTCATCTTCCACCCCATTCTGCGGGACTACGGATTACCATACGAAAATGCAAGCGAAATAAATCCACCATTAATCAACAGCACTGCTGTAATTCTGAATCGAAAGCCAGCCTTCACCACCGGATGAAACATCATGAAAGAATCACATTTGGAGGGTAAATCAGTTTCTGCTGTTGCAGATCGGCGTTACCGCCAAGTAATGAGAAACTCCATGCCGCTCACAGGCTGCTTACCCGGTTTACCCATCACCAAGCTGCTACAAATCTGATCGTCCGGGATGATCTTCAGCCTTGGGCCTATTCCAGGGCTAAGGAGAGCGACCGGTCTTGGTCGCGAGAACTAATCAGGTTGGAATGTGGTAAACCCAAGAATAAACATCCTATTTCGGAGGGTTTATACCGTGTATACCACCCTTTTTTTATGGGCATTTGAGATTGTTTATGGGTCAACCATGGTCAACCATATTAACATACATTAACTACTTGTGATATCCTGCAGCCCGAAGTCTATATCTCTCATAAATTGGGGCTGTGGGATGATGCCGGTCCTTGCGCATGGGCCGGCTCTTCTGATCTCATCCGTTCCCCGGTGAAGTCCAAGGTGATGGTTCTACCCACAATGGCCTCGCGGATCGCGAATCGCTGGTTTTTTCGGTTTCTGTCACTTCGACCGGTTGAAAGATTTGAGTCAACTGATATCATAATTTTATATAATTTGAATAGGATGGGAATTAAAGAATATAATTGAGGCATATTGAAACCACCAATGAGATCTGCTTTTAAATCAGAATGGTGACTTTGACCCATCTGCGAAAAACGGCCAGGCGAAATCCTCATCAGTTTAAACAATGCGTTAACCGGATTTGCTGGAGAATTACCCATCAAATTCGAACATGTATCAAAGTCCCAAAGAAGTCTGCATGGTCCATTGCAATGTGAAATAACCAGAGGGTAACCATTCATTATACTAAGAAACCCCTGAAGTTACCCATGTCCCCCATTTAACTGTTCCCGCCTCCAGGTTCAAGGATAGGTCTTTGCCATCCAGTTGATCGCTGATGGAGAGGGCACCAGGCTTCTGGCAAAGTGGGAAACCCTGACTATCATTTTAAAAAAACTACCATGACTGAGGATGGTTTATAATGGTTTATAGGACCCATAAAAAATGATGATTTTGGGGTTGGCTATGGATGGCTTATTGCATTGGGATGCATTGGGTTTACCACATGTTTGTTGCAATTCCTTTTGGCTGGAGCTCTTGCTTTGGAAAAACTTGTGGGTGGGATTGACCATGCGCCCAAGATGGCTTTCTTGAAGAAGGGGAACTTCCATCCAAACAAATGCCTCTGACATCCTCTGACTTTATCGTCTTTCTGGTTGATCGACTCTTTCTGAAGATCCCAATCATCCAATCGGCTTGTGAACTGAACCAATGTATGGCGTGATCATGCACCGTGATCATATATGATCCATTTGGATCCATTTGGGGCATTTCATTGCCACTCATTCACCTCAATGTCCTCAGAAAACCGAGGCCGCAGAGGCCAAATGGCATCAAACACTGCCCGAAGCACGTCCGCTCAACTTCCCAAGACAAGACACCCGCCCTCGGATGGAGCCCATGCGAACATATTCACTGGCGCACTTGCAATGGCAGTCCTGTCAAACTCACGAAACTCGCGGCAAAAATCGCAGAAAAACTCTGGGACCAGTTGGGGCAACATGGGGCAACCATCTCCAACTGATTCAGCTGCTGCATATCCAGTTGGTCCGTCAAAATCATATGGTTCCCTGAAAACCTCGCGAGGCCCATCCCAAGGATCCCAAGGATCCCAAGGGCAAGGCGGCCTGGCCCAGCTTGATGGCATCTAGACAAGGCAGGCCACCTTCAATCTGAGTCCAGCACCTGGCGAGGAATGCCATATACAACTACCATGACTGGGGATGGTTTATACAGCACCCATAAAAATGATGATTTTGGGGATGCTTATGGCATTGGGTTTACCACATGTTTGTTACAATTCCTTTTGGGTTTACCACATGATCCATAGTTAAAATTCAATTTATCTAGTCAAATCTAATCCAAACATATCCAATCTCATCTAATGTCATCTATTGAATCTGATCTAGTCATCTCTACTCCCATCTCATCAATCTAATCGAATCGAATCTAATCTCTTGTCAAATTTATGTGGTTTATCCAATCCCATCTATCCATGTCTATCTCTTCTGGCTGTACAAATGTTCAACCAATAATGTATGTTCTTTATTTCTTTCAAAACAGGAGAAACAACAGTGCATGTCTAGTATATTTCTATCATCATACATCAATCTCTCGACGTTCACTTCTTTAACTCCTTGATTTTCTGTGTGCTTTTCGGGCAGATCATCCACAAAAAATCCTCATCCATAGCACCCCATAGCACCCCATAGCACCCCATAGCACCCCATGGCCCCCATCCGCACCTTTGTTGCTGGAGATTGGGCACCTCGCCGCCCTCCTGCCAGCTGCGATCGCAGCGATAGGCACACTCCGGGCTCTTGCAGGACACGGGGCAAAACTCGGGGATGTTGATGGCCAGAGTATCGCCTGACATCACCGGTCACCGGTCGACAGTTGTATGGGATGATGGAGACAGGCCCGTTTGGAGAAATACCTGTGTTCAAAAGGTGCTGCCGGTGACAACGATACACGTCCAAATTAACACCAATCTAGCTGCTATTTACTCCAGCTTAGCCCCAGTGGATGGTAGTAATGGCCTAGGTGTAAGTGGTTGGGACCTTCTCTTGAAGAGGGAGGTCTGGAAAACCCATTCAGCAACAGTTTGCACAAGATCCTCGTTTTGACCAGTTTTTTCTGGGCCCTACTGTCTGGATTTTAGAGGCCATTGATTGCTTCCGGTACTGCCTTGCTTTGTCATAGTTGATTTAGATTTATCATGGTTCATCATTTTTTTGCTAATGGTTCATCCAGACAAGTCAGTATCTGAACTTCACAATCTATCCAAATTTCCTCCACTAAAAGGGACTGTGCGCATAGCTCACCATGATCTTGTGTGCATTTAGGCGCAAAGCTGACATTGCAAGCAAATAATTACCAAAGACGCCCGCATGCCTCACTCCAGAAGATTCATGCATGGCTAACAAGTTGACATCTTATTCTGCACTATCATGACCGGGGATGCTACCCGCTGACTGTCAAACCCCCGCCCTCTCGGCCCCGCTTGGGGCATTTCACACCTGGTCATACCCCCGCATTAAGCAGTCGAGTGTGTCTGACAATGTGGTATTTACTCCCAATGTGCAGTCATCTTGATAGGAAAATTATGATGTCTCTGGGAAAATGATGATTAACCATCGGAGTTCTTCTGTGTTTCCCTAGAAATTTTCTGACAAACCCAAATATCATATTGTTGCTTCTATATAAATATATATATATATATGTTTGACCATCGCTCTGCCTCCTTTTGTCCCTGTTCCCAGCCTTTGCTAAGGTGCTCTGGCTTGTCTGCACTAGCCACGGGGCCAAAAAGATCCAAGCGTAATCTCACAAAAAAAGGATGCAGCATCAAAAGCGCTACAATCAAAAGAGAATGGATCAGGCCCTTTCCGGGTGGCATGGGGGCGGGCCCAGAAAGCTCTAGGCGCCACTCAGGTAAAACATGAGATCATGTTTGACCATCGCTCTGCCTCCTTTTGTCCCTGTTCCCAGCCTTTGCTAAGGTGCTCTGGCTTGTCTGCACTAGCCACGGGGCCAAAAAGATCCAAGCGTAATCTCACAAAAAAAAGGATGCAGCATCAAAAGCGCTACAATCAAAAGAGAATGGATCAGGCCCTTTCCACCTTTGCGTGTGTGCCGGCAACGGGTGGCGTAAGCGCTCGTTCGGGCAACACCGTGGCCAAGGAAAACTCCCGTGGGATTTCAAGAAATCGACAGACTGGCATCGAAAAGTGAACTGGCTGCAAAAACGGCGTTGCGACTCTGTACAGAGAGTTGCATGGTGACAGCTTCAGCACCCACCTCTTGTAAATAGTGCTGAAGGGTTTCTAAATTCTTCAACCTCATTCTCCAAAGCAAACGGTTGATGTCTTCATTTTCACGGTAACATCTAACCGCTCCGCCTCCCCTCATAGATGCAGGGGTTAACCCTAGGTTATATGGCACACTAAGTTTCTGCAGCAACAAGTCCCATCTTCGACGGAACGTGACTGGAGAACCTGGGTAAACTCTCCGCTTCAAAGGTAGCTGTTTCAGAACTCGCTCCAGAAACTTGACTGCTAAAGGATGCGAAATCGTGGCATGCTGAACTAAACCGAGGCCTCGGAGTCTGGACTTCGGCTTCTTGATCCGCAAGTACGCTCGATCCATCTGTTCAGACAACAAATCCGAAGGCAGCAGTACATCTTCTCGCAAAGCACCTAAAGCTTCACCTGGCCTGCAAATTCCCTCAAAACTCAGAATCATGACGCAAGCAAAACGAAACCACTGCAAGTTTATTGCAAAAGCTACCATAGCCTTATAAATAGCCCAAGGAAGAGGTGTGCGATGGCAAACAGGTTCTACTGTTTCCCACTTCTTTATCACATCCCAGGAACAATTCAATTGGCTTCGCAAACGGGGATCTGCACGCTGGGCAAAGGTTACCAGCTGTCTCATCATGTAAAGACTCTGACCGTTTTGGAAGAGGTGTCGCCCAAATTCTGCTAAAAGAAGATCCAGGGTAGAAGGGCAAAGTACTAGTTCTTCCGCAAAAACATTTCCGACTTTACCACTAAGCCAACGGAGAAAACCATCCCAGATGTTACGACCCAAACGGTCTGTAGCAGCAGTTACAAGTTTCACATCAGCTAAGTCCACATTGGCTCGAGCTGTTGTGGGCTTCTGTCGAGGTCCTGGATGCTGAGCTTCACCAATCCTGCTGTGGTCGCAACGCGAGATCAGGCTGAAGTCAATTTGTCTGCGATCAGGAAGCAATCCGCAGTCGATGAGCATAGCTTTGGCCAAATAGAAGCACAGCCTCTTCGGATAGGTCTGCGCTACCCGAGTCCAGCTTCTGCCATGCACTTTCGACCACCCAGACAAGCGAAGGTGGGTATGATCACGACTGCACCAAAACTTCTGTCCTCGCAGATGAGTGCTCGTCAAAAAACGAGAGCGCTTGCGCCACTTGGTCCCCAGTGTGCAGTAGTCCAAACGGAACACTTGGGAAGCTGTCCTAGCGCCCAGCTCGACGAACTCGTCCAGGTACCAGAGAAAGCTACCGTCAGGATTTTCAACCCAAAAGTGTATCTTGAGTTCTATGCACACTTGAAGTAGGTGGGCAAGCCATTGGGCATGACGGTTGCCCAGTTTTACTTTTTCCTCCATCTTCCGACTGAGGTTGGGCAATCCGTAAGGCAAGGAGGCACTCCTTACGGGTGGTCTGACTGCTCGAGAAAAGGAGGAGCAGAAAATCGCAGCTCCCAGCCCGAGAATGAAGCCGCTTCGGAGGAGCCTCTCAATGAGGCTTTTGTTCTGCTCGCTCAGCACGTCTTGATTCGGTCCATCCTCCAGTTCGAAGGTGATGACCCAGGTGTCTGTCAAGGATACGAGGGCTTTAGCTACACCTTTCTTCCCAGAGTAAAGATCCAGAAAACCTGGAGTGCTGGGCCGCCAGTCCTCATCCATTTTGCCTCGCAGATGCGCAGGCAAAACAAACTGCTCAAGGGGAACTTCATGAAGAATGCCACGCTTTTCCTTTGTCGACGCTTGCACTGCGCCCGGACCCAAAGATGAGTCACTCGGAAGTGGTACCTCCGGACCCCGTACTGCAGTAGTGGGAGACAATCCACCCTGCACTGAGCTCGAAGAACTAGGCACGCAAGGTCCACTTCCGACTGACTCACCTGGATCAGCAGGGGCTCGCAGCCTCATAGGTTCTGGCACTTCTGGGAGCTCAGCAAGGTCTTCAGACAAGCCGCAAGGAGCTCCTTGTAGCTCTTGAAGATCTGGAAGCCCTGAGGTGGCGTAGGTGTCAACATTGTAAGATTCCAGCCACTGGTCAAAGGCTGAAATGTCTCCTTGGGCAGCTGAATGAAAAACATCAGGTAGAGCAGCTTCAGGGCTTCGGACACGCTGCCCTCTAGTCGGATCGTCTGCCGTGTTGATCTCTGACGGCACGTATCCGCAGTTGCTGTACATGCCGCATCCTAAGTGGATCCCGAGGCTCTGCTGGAGCTCCTGGTTGAGGCCAAAAGAACTAGACCTTCCTTTCACCCAAGCCCCAAGAGCGACCTGAGAGTCGGCTAAGCTGAAAACACGTGCAGGAAAGTGAGTCTTCGCCGCTTCTGCTTCGGCTTTTAACATCCCACGCATCTCCAGAATATTGATATGCCGACCGGGAGGCATAGCTTTTCGACAAACCTCCTTGTATCGCAAGGCTGAGGCTAGTACAATCCACAAGGGATGGCTGGCAAGCATCTGTCCTTCTGGTAGTTCTTCGGCCGGAGAAAGGACTCCTTTTATACGCTGCAGTGACTTCAAGGGAGACAATAGATGAACCCACACTGACTTCCGGAGCTTGTGTCTGTGGATCTCTCCTTGTAGCCAACTCGGCAAGGGAGCGCGAGTGACTCCGATGCCCCACTCTGAAGCATCGCTGCAGTAAACATGTTCTGCGTTCTCTACTTTTAAGTTCGTCGCAGCTAAGGGGGCTAGACTAAGGCACATAAACAGTTCTTCTTTCAGCTCCGGTGACAACCGGATTACATGGTTCCTTGCAAATTCACCATGCCCAGCTTGATAAACCAGATTCAGCAGAGAAAGCAAACGCCTACGAAAAAGAAATATTGAAGTCCAGGCTCCTGTGAGGATCTCCAAAAGGCTTATGCTGCAGACTCCCATCTTCAAAACACGGGCTGTGACCGCAATCACAGGAATGCTTCGCTTGAGGTTTGCCATGCATAGTCCGTGCAATCCATCGAATTGGCAGCCCCAAAACTCACTGTCAGCCTGTTCGAAAAAGGTCTTGTCCGGGTGAGGCAGCAATCCAACTCGCTTGTACTCGCCAAGCGCTTCTTCCAGGAAGGCTCTGCCTGCACGAGAGGTCACTGGGGATTGATGGAAAACACTTTTCAGCATAACTTCAAACACCACCAGATCGTCTATGACGATTCCTGCAAAGCTTTTCTCCCTGGGTATTGCCAAATCCATACTCACCAGATTATTTTTGTTGATAAGTCCAGATTGAACGAGGATGCCCAGGTGTGCGGTCTGTGCAATTTCGACCGCTTGTGCATCCCCCATAGCCAGGGTATTCAGACTAAAAAAGACCCGACGCCCTTGATGAACTTTGGGATCATAGCATTTGAAATCAGCATAGTCATCAGCCCAAACAGAATTAACCAAACTGTTCCGCACCAGACGTTCTGAAGAAATATGGAAGCTATAGTAAAAATCCCTTAAGTCCGTAGAGCTCACGAGGCAAACCTCGTCTTCACGCAATTGAAGGTCTAACAGTGGGTTGGTCGAGGCCATGGCTTTGACCCATCTACCCAGAGGCTGTTCTAGAGTATTGAAAGGTCTTGAATCAAAAATAAGACGGTCTGCTTTCAGGTTCTTGATAACGCTAAACAGTCCTGCTTGGTAACCTGTCAACACTTCTGCTTCATCAACCATGCCCAAACGACCACATGCATCCAACTTGCGGAAGAGCTTGTCTCTCTCTGTGTTGCTTGCATGTATCTTGACTGGTGGTGGTTCCACAATTGCTTCCTCTGGAGCCAAAGCATTCTGAATAGGGTGCTCAAAAATAGACCGGCTTCGCTCATCCAAATACGGCGATGGACTGAAAGAAGGTTTGTCTGGAAATTCAAGTCGATCGCTCTGTATCGGTTTAGCTGCAACAGTGCTTGTGGTTCGAGAACTGCCTATCCACTCCCCGATGGGCACACGCTGCAACCCTGGAGCAAAGCCTTGTTTCCTTCTTCGACTGTTACTCATGTTGCTAGGTTTTCCCTCGACATTAGTACCAAACAAAATATCAGTAGCAACACTTTCAAAAGAACCAAGTTGATTCAAAACAACTTCAATATCTTCAACT